ACTGGACCTTCTGTTTTTTCCTGCATCCGTTCGTCTTAATAATGGAAAAAGTCTTAGCTCTGGCCTACTTTCGCCGCAATTTACCGTGTTCACGGCTCTCGCATAACTTCCTCCAAGTAGCTACACGCTCGTTCCGCTGTTCTTTTGTTGCCAACTCTTTCGTTAGCCCTTCTCCGTCACGATGGTTATTCTTGCCGTGCTTCCTCCAGCCACAACCGAAAATCCGGATGCAATGCAAACATTATCGTCGAATATTATGCAAAAATGGTAATTACTTCGCCAACATTAAGATTCCTGTGCTTCCCTTAATTGCTTTTAAGTAATTAGTTCCGAGTTTAATATTTCTGTGAATAATAACGCCACAGAACACAGAATCTTGAGGATAGAAGTGTAAAATAGAACTTTGAATTCTTTCTTTTTTTGATTTTATATTTTTCATGTAAGGTCACGAACCTTTTATTCTGTTCTTTTTGTATTTTCTCCCTTTTATGTAGGTTTACGCTTCCTTGTTCTTTTCTGAAATATTCTTTTTAAATTCAAATTGGAAGAATGTCTTACTCCTTTTATATATTTGTTTTGTATTCATTCTTTTTGTTAATTTTTAAATTATGAAATCTGAATAATTGAATTCAATAAAAATTTTGTCATTCGTATCTTTATTTTATTGATTCCATCATATGATTTATGTTCAGTATGTTTTGCTGGTAATTTATTCTGAAACGAAGGAATCAATGGAGATTTTCTGTGATTTCTCAAGCATCCGCTTCGTTTCTTCTTTTCTTTTCCTCTGTTTATTTCTGAAAAGTAAGGAAAGCCTGTGAAATATCATTCACCGAAATACATTGCTTTTCCTTACCTGAGTACACTCTCGTGGATAGAGTATTCTGATTGTCTGGAGAAATTGCACATTCGAGCTTCGAATCCCACTACAAATGGAACGTTCCTCAACGCTGCTTCAAATGAATCCCCAACTACATAAAATCACACCATATTAAATTCTTTATATGCACCTTCTCCAACTATATTTATATTTCATTGTATTCGGTATAAAAATGTTACACCTCTTATTTTAAGATTTATAAAAGATAAATTAAAATTACTTTAAATTATTGAATTATAGAATTTTTGAAATCGTACTCTAGAAAATATAAAGAAAAATAAAAAAGGGAAAGAAAATTTTATTATTCTTTTTTATCTTACTTGTTTCGTTAAAATCATTGTTCGACAAATTAAGATTCAAACTTTTGAGCTTTATGGAACCGGAAGTCAATACTTCGGCAAGTGCTGCACCTCCAGCAGCCTCTATTCCGCAAGCACTCACGTCGAGAACTTCCAAACTTTCGCTTCTTAACAGATCTAAAACAAACACAAACAATGAACTCTCGGAATGCAATTTCCACGTGTTCTTTGTCTAGAATCCGATCATTTCGTTTTCGAGGAAGTTGTAAAGATTTCTAAATAGGGAACTACATGTATACATATAATGAATTAAAAATAATTCTGTAACTTAATCATGGTATTTACAATTTCTTTTCAAATATCAAATCACGATATTTCTTCTTTTTTATTAGTATTTCAATCTTAATTCATTTAAACAAGATGAACAAAGAATATTGTTGCACTTTGTTTATGATAATTATTGTCTTTCTCTAATAATTATTATCGATTAATAAACATTATCTCCATAATCTTTTAATGTCAGTTTCTCCGTTAAATAGAATACACGGAGAAAATATTTCGAAATTCATCCGGAATAATTATTACCAATTAGTAAATAATTCATTGTCATGTATCAATTTTATGACAACATTTTTCTGCAAAAATCTTAAATGTTTAAGGAACGATATTGCAAAGTTCTATAGCTTAATGTATAAATCACGGGATAGTGTCCATTCGGGCAGATTCAGCAAAAGTCAAACAGGAATCCGGTGTAATTTCCGGGCGGAACACGCTGAAGATTAACGGGACGGAAGTCGAGCACGGTGTTTGTTCTACGAGATACAATCGCCGTCATGGCTTCGATACGGTAACCAGTATAAATATTGACTCATAAGAGGATAAAGTTAGTAACTTAATACTTTGTACACTTACAGGCACACACATGAAACATCCCGTTGTCTAGCAAAGGATTTAGCCTCAAATTCAAATGCTGTAGTGTTGTGTGCTCCGCCTTTAGCAGCCCATAGATTATACCAGCCACTCCTTCCGGTCCTATATCATTGTTCGCTAAATGCAGTATTTTCAGGTTCTTGTGCGAGAGGTATTCACCAACTGCTTTTGCTCCTTTATCTGCCAGTTTACAATGAGAAAAGTCTAATTCTTCTATCTGAATTGAAAAAGAATTTGGTATTAACAGCACGGTATTATAAGAATGATCAATAAACAATATTATAGAAAATACGTTCTTAATTCCAGATTGTTATTGAATGATAGGACACTGAGGAAATAGAGAAAGAGAATACTAAGTATTAAAAAACAAAGTGAGTTTAATCAAATTGGAATTTAAACGACTGGAAAAATTAGACAGTAGAAAAATTAAGAGACTTAAAATTTGTAAAATTAAGAATTTGAGATATTAAAAGATTAGGGAATTAAAGATATAAGATGTTGGAAAATTAGAGGATCAAGGAATTGAGAAATTGTACGATATGGAAATTTTTTCTAAGCCGTTGTGACGCTACTAACACTATCATTCTCCAGTACACCTTGAAGAAGAGCTGCTGCACGTGGTTGATCCAAATTGCTTCTAGTCAAAGTAAATTTCTTCAATTTCGGGCAAGCTTTGATCCCACGACCAAGACCAAAGCAATCTTCAATGGATATCCTTTATTTTTATTTTTACTCTTTTAATGTACATAAATCGGACTTGAAGAAATAGTAGAGTATTAAACTGTAACCTGGAAAAGCAACTTACTCGAAGTCTCGCCACTCGAAACCATCGTTCATGTAAACCAACCCGAAATTAATGCGAAGCTCAGTAAGATGAGGGAATTGTGGCAGAATAAGCTCCAACGGGATGTGATGGACGAATACTTCCTCTGCTAGACACGAATCTTCTTCGTTTAGAGATATCTTATCCTTCCTGTGAATGTGAACAGATTTCGTGCAAATAAGTAGTACTGTACTATGTACAATGATTATGTAAGGTGAAGGCTTATACGACAAATTCAAGGAGAAAGATTTCAGTTTTTGGAAGTCTAATCGTAGCTATCTTTTGTAAATTTCTTTTAAATTCGGATTTTTTCCTCTATGTTTCGAATAACTATTGTTATATTGAGATAGTTTAGATTTGGGATTAAATTATTTTGTATAAATAAATTATTTTTAGAATTATTATTATTACGTTTAAACAACTTAAATTTAGGATTGTTGTTGCATTCTCGTATTTATGCTTAGAATAGTTATTATATTGAAAGTTTACATTTTTTTTAGAATATATTATATCTTATTTATTTAAGAAGATTTACTTTGTTGGCAGTAAAGAACGTAGCTCTATTGTGTGCACATAATCACGCACAAGATCGATCATTTTTTCACAATCTTCCTTTTGGGATTCGAAGAAACTTGGCTCGAGATTCTCCAAATATTCACGAAAAGCACCTTCGCAGTAACGTCGCCGCCAGGAATTGCCATGTTCAGCGCAATCGTTGTGCCCCCATCTGAAATAATTCTAGTCTCTCCCGCATTCTCGCATTTGAATTTGGGGTCACGCTTTATGTAAACCAAAAACGACTTTCTTTATGAAAATTCGATAGTTCTCGTGCTGGAAAGTGGGCGAACTGTTTCAAGAGAATGCTCGTTGAAAAACGGCCAAGAGAAATTAATGGAATGATACTATATAAAGTACATATACTACCGCCGGTAGTAAGCTAAAACTACTTATAGTCGGTAAATTAAACATCCATTTATGAGATTGCTTCCGTGTTGTATGCTTTTATGAGGACGCGAATAAACTTTTTTTTGACGGCCTCTTTTATGGATTGCGAATTTTTTAAATTTTCTGTTTTTCTAATTTCTTGATTTCCTGGGATTTCACGTTTCCTTATTTTCCTTACCACTTAATTTTCTCTGTTACTCGTTCCAATTTTCTCTACATTTTCTATTCTTATACTCTATACTTTTCATTTCAACTTTGTACTACACGATAATATAAAGAAATTTTTACAAAGTGTTTTCAATGCTTTCGATTACGTTTTTCACCTAGCTCTCGAGCAACGTTCCCAATAGTGTTCATTGTCGATTTTCCTTATAGTCAACTCGAACGGTAAATCGGTAGGCAGAATTTCCATCAGCATATTTCTATCCTCACAGGTTGGTAATTCCTCCAGTATCGGATTTTTCTTCCATACGGAGGCTATGACACGAAGGGCGAGGGTCTTTAAGCTTGGGACTCTCTCCTCGTCCCAGGAAACATCTTCCGGTCGAATTGTTCGATCGACCTCGCACGTTAACCGCGTCGTTTCTTCCGAACATCTTCCAAAAAAGATATTAATTACATATGCATCTTTTTTGGTGTTAATTATTATATATAATTATAATAAGAATTTGATAATATTTTGAGAAAGTTGAGAATTGAGCAGTAGAAAGTTTAAGGAATTTGGAATTTGGAAATCAATGATTAAAAAAGATAAATTGAGGAATTACAGAACTACGGAGTTGGAAAAATAGCAGATTATAGGGTTTTTAACGAAATTAAGAAAATCTGGAGAACATACCTGTAAGCTTCCAACACGTTCTTGGGTATAGTGTGCGGAATTTTCATTTTTGTTACCTCCTCTATGCATTAGATTCATAAATATGTAAACAGAAACATCTTCGCTGGTTCATTTCCTCCACATCTCCACCATATGATAACTTGCTTCAGGCGAAACATATAATCGACGATAAAAGCTTCTATCTTCAACGAGTTAACATACTGTGCCAATTCCTTCTTTTCATGTTCAATTAAACGACCTATTTCCCGACTGAAATAATATCCATCATAATAATTATATTTTCAGGAATGTCCCGAGGGTGTAGTTCACGAGGACCTGTTCAAAGATATTTATGCGAAATTCTTTCCTCATGGCAGTAAGTTTTAATTATGTCTTGCCTTGTAGTTAATTATTATGAATAATTTTAATATTAATTCGTATACACGTTGCAGATTCTAGTCTTTACGCTCATTACGTGTTCAAGGCCTTTGATGTTAATTGCAATGGTGCCATGAATTTTAGGGTAATTTCAATTTCTTTTCTAACAATTCTCTTTTATTATCGGGTTTTTTCTACTTAATTTAATTTAATTTGTAATAATATATATTTAATATCTAATTTTTTACTAATTTTCTTTTTGTGCAATTCCTCAATTTCTTTGATCTCCAAAGTTCCTAATGCATTAATTGTACTACATTTTTTCCCTAATTTCCCAATCTTCGAAGGAAGAAAAAAAGATATAGAAAGATCCGAAACATACGATACGATTTTTCTTCTCAGGATCTCCTGGTAATTTTATCGACTCTACTACGAGGCAGTATCTACGAGAAGTTACGATGGATCTTCAAGCTGTACGATATAAATGGCGACGGATGCATCACCAGGGGCGAGCTATGGGAAGTGGTGATTGCAGTGCATGAGCTGATGGGACGACGACATCACGCCGAAGAGGAAAGGAAAGCGAGAGAGCAGTTGGATAGGGTGTTCAAGAAGTTCGATTTAAACCAGGATGGCATAATAACGATCGAGGAATTTATGGAGAGCTGTCTGAGGGTATCGACACGTTTGCATTTTATGCATCTTTAAACAATATTGCTACTTCGTGAACAGTTTGCCGATGGCGAGAAGTTCTCGATATTGTTACATGCTATTCACTGAAGAATCAATATCTCATGAAATCTTAACATTACAGTTTAGAGTCATTAGTATTATAAGACAAATAAAATTTGTTAAATGATCTATATAATTATTATACACGTAAGAATGGATTGAGGAAGAACATGATCATCTTCCTTCTAATCTCCAAGAAAAGAATTCATAAAACTTCAGAAATAAAAAATTGTTCACAATTCGTATCAAAATCTAAAGTTTTATTTGTCTATCATATCGATCTCTATATTTCTGCTAATGACAATTATATTAACAGAAATGGTATGTTTAGGATGATGTGACTACACGGTCGTTGGCAAAGTTCGATTACGCGTTTTGATCTCCGGAGAAGGAAGAGCCTCCGGTGATGACCAAGACGACGCCGCCAACGCCGCTCTCTACCACGACCACCTTCTCGCAGTCCCAATCGCCCTCGCCACCACCGCCGTCCTACTCTCTGCTGCCACCTATTCCACCGCCTTTGCCTTCTCAACCACCTCCAGGTTACACCGTTCAAGATCAGGAGCTTTATATGCTCCTAGCGGCGCACTGGTGGAACCAACCGGAGGCTCCGCTCTTTTGCTAAGGGTAAATTATCATATTGAACCTTCTTGTACAATCCAATTAATATTATTATCATTAGTGAAATTTTAGAAGTTACAAGTTACAAATTAGAAATACCAATAGATTCTCTAACGTAATTGGAACATGTTTGATAATAAAGCAGCCAGAATTTTAGAGATATTAAATAAATATAAAATAATAGATTCTATATAAATAAATTTTATTTTAAACAAGTGAATCCTAATTCTGAAGTGTTAAAATTCAAGAAAACATTTATCTCATCCACTAAATAATATAACAAATATCATTCTTTGAATATTTTTCATATTTCTACATATTATGTGTATTCTGTGCACTCCTCAAATTTTCAAATTTTCCATAGATAAACCGTGATTCCCAACTTCTACAATAAGGAATTCCAACTTCTGAAAAGAAAAACAGAGAATACTGTAAAAAAAATACAAAAAAAAAGATAAAAATGAAAACAAAAAGAATGAAGCCCTTAAGAATCTTGCGAGTTCAAGAATTCAATTAAACTCTCGCGGTCGATAGGCGAACGAGCTATAAGTTATTTCTTCTTGCGGAAGAACTATTTTACATCACGTAAGCAAATCTGTTAAGCATCCAGATATAATGGGAGTAGAGCATTCCCTTTATAAGAGGGAGATGAACGACTTGTCAATTGTGGAATCGACATTACAAAGTCGAATATTATCACACGAGTTAAGACTAAGAGAATTGTATTAACAAATTAAGGGGAAAAATACAAATTGATTCGACGAATATATCATGGAGGAAGAATATTAAATAAGCAACTATCAATGATGTCGAATACTTCAACTTTATTTAGGAGAAGAACTTTTGAATATCAAAAAAAGTATTTAACACTATCGTTTTCGCCAAAGAGAAGAAAACACGCTAAAAACGAGAAGAATTCAACATGAAACAGCATTTTGTCTTCTTTCACTTCCGTGCCAAACTTCGAGTAAAAAAATTATACTATTCCTTTCGTACGCGATGAAACGAGGTATGGGTATGACTGTGTACACGATTGAAAGATACGATTTTATCTACAAGATTATGTAATTTGGAAGATGCTGAAAATGAGGCAGTACGTACTAAGTATCGATTTGAAACAATTAATCATGCACAGAATGTTTCTAGTTTTATAATGTGATTGATGTAATGAATTTATCTTTATAATTTTCATTTACAATTTTTTAAATAATTTGTTTAAATTTTTGAAAAATAAAAAATCGAAAATTTATTGTACACTACGTAGAGTAAAAATTTTTGTCTATTACTTCTGTCTTCATTTCTGTCTATTATAATATACAATACAGAAAATATTGAATTACACTATTAAATTAAATATCATAGAATGATTTTTCATTTTTTTAGTAACATTCTGTGCTTAACGAACAAGATATTTGTTTTAGAAAGCATTGCTTTCGTACGTGCTTACACGAAGAGTTTACGTATTAAAAATTCAAGCGTGCAACGAGCATTCGGCGATAGAGCCTCACGAACAAAGAAGAAGTTCGATTTTCATTTGAGACAATCTCACATGTCGTAAGGAGTTGAAAGAAAAAGGTATACGAAAACAATGTGGTTCTGCTGAGGAAATAAGATCAAGACGATATTCTGTTATCTCTTTCATATTGAATACTATACAATTATATCATATGATATGTCCCTATAGGGTTCAACTGTTTTACGAAGTTATTAAAGTAGAATTACATAATATCGTAGGTGTAAGAGCGATAGCAGAGAATCAGTTTTCTAATATCGATAAATCTGTTAAAATGTTTGAAAAGGAGGAAATAATTGTCATAAAGATATAAAGAAAAATTAAATCGTAGGTAAGATTATATATTCTTGTTCAATACATAGAGGGGTGTTTCAATTAGTGATCGTTCCACAAAACGAAACACCAAATTGCAATAATTATCTAGTGATTTAGAGGAAAAAAATCTGAGAGGAGAAAAGAATGAAAAATCACATGGTATTATATGAGACGAATTTGTTATTAAAAAATCGAACGATTTATCGTCGATTGAACGTTTGCACGACCATGATAGTCGACATAGACGTAGGCAGCTTGCGTCGATCATAGGATCTCCAACTTTTTTTTAGTAACGTACAGCCACGTTTTATCAATATACAACACCAGGTGTGTCTTTTCAAGCTAGAGTATCCTTTCAAATTTTGCACATGCACCTTGAAAACACGTTTATACCAAGATCCATTTTATAAGATCTTTAAAAACCACTAGAACGTTATAAAACTACTCAATAATTTTTCAAAAACATTCTTTTTTCCATAATTATTTACAAACAATAATATCTGATATTAAATTTTCTTTATTGGAAAATAGGCTAATTTGAATAATAGCGAGTAATTTAGATACTTTATAGATAGATCAGAATTTTTAGTCCATTTTTTGAGTCCCCCAAGTACCTGTAGTAATGAGGCGCGGATTTACAAAATCATTAATAATAATTAGTATCCGTTATAATCAAATGGATATTAATTTGCTGAATCATCTAGCCATCTGGAATTAACTAGAATCGTTTAAAAATAATAGTTACCTTGCCTCAAAGTTTTTAGGCAATATTATATATACATACATATATATTATATGTAATTTTTCTTTTTAATCGTAAATCTTTCGAGATAGAGGCTCAAGTTAGAAAAAGAATTTAGGATAAGTACCGTTTGTTGACCGTTGTTGTCTCTTTGTAGCACTCGCACTGTTACTTGTTAATCAATGAAATCCTTCATCATGGTGTTTTAATAGAAGTCGAAGACGCATAGGTTGCTAAGCGCGTTCCTATAGCAACTATATTATTAAATAACGATGATTCTCAGATAGAGACACTCAGATAGAGTCCGTAAACAATTCGGATCTCTACCATTTCTGAATAATCAGCTATTACAAATTTAAACCTATAGGTATAAATTGTAATTTTTTTAATTATTTATTTTCTATCTTTTCTTAATGAAAACAATTTTTTAATGAAATGACAACACCAATTTTTAGATATTAAAAATTTTGTTTTTTCATTTTGTATAAAAAATAACTAAAGTTTTTCGTCAAATACGAACATCTTTGAATAATTGAAAAATTAAAAATAAATTATAAATTTATCTTTTTTTTTATATTAAAATTTTTTTCAATTTTTAGACCAAAAAGAGTGAAAGTATGCTACAATCAAGAATCCGTTGTCCATTGTTCCTAATAATGAATGAAAGCGTTAACGTGGAGAGTTCACAAGTCGAGAATATTAATTGAAAGCCGCTTGTTTCTGGGTTTTCTAACTGAACAAGTCAATTGCATCCGGAGGCGGACAAAAAATTCTGATGACCGAGGATTTTGGAAAGAAAAGATTTTTCTAATTGCACGAAAGTTTCTTCGAATTTTAAATGGAAGTTTTTTTCACCTGGATAAAAATAAAATAAAAGAAATCGATATAAGAAGCGATTATCGATGCTTCTTGGCGACAAGTATGCGTGTGTATCGCAATCGATCTAATATTAAACGATTTTTATATATTTTCTAAGAAAAACAAAAGTGAGACTTCAGAAGATGGAAACAACGAATGTTATAATTAAAAAAGAAAAAAGAAAAAAACAATTTTCTATGAAACAACTGGAAGCATACTTAAGAATAAAAGTCTCCAAGCGACGATAAGGAGTAGGAAAATACGGAGTATTTCCGGTTTCAAAAGAAAGAATTTTCAATCATAAAATACGATAATTTTCAATGAAAAAAATAATTTTTTATTATTATTTAATGCTTTAGTACAATTGAAAAATTATTAATCTAAAATTATTCAATATTTTTTCCTCGTTTTAAGTTTTCGTCATTTTCTAAAATAATGAAACCGGAAGTGCCCTATCTTACAGAATATCAGTAATACTTTTTTGAACTAAAATTTTCAGGAACTTGTCCAACATTTTACAATGAAACAAATTTATACACAAACATTTGACGATCATTTCCGTTACAAAAGAAGAAAGAAAAGAGAATTCAAATTTCCCGCCAAAAGAATTGAACACGGTTTTGTCAACGCGTTTTAGAACGTAAGAGAAATTAAATGTTACACTTTTGTTAGTCAATGATTTAGCTTATTCCTTTCGAAAAGAATTGTAATTTAGATCGTTACATATCGTGCGTGCTTACTGGTCGTTTCAAAATCAGGACAGCCATTCAATTTGAAATATAGAAGCGTAAGATCGATGTTTAAGAATCAAATTTTGAGGAACTTATTAGATCGTAAATCTAGTACGTGTTGGTTTCTTTCTCGAAATGAGAATAATGAGGTACTATACAGAATATTTCAAAATATGAGTACGTCAAAAACGATTTTTTCTTGGAAAAACATTTTTTCGTATACAGATTTGAAATATACTTTTCATTTGAAAAAGTTTGCAATTTAAATTTTAACTTTTTTCCGCATATTTTGAAACATTCTGTATAGATCGAAGTAGTCATAGTCAATTCATGAACATTAGAGGTAACATAGATCGTAATTAACTTTATTGATCTTTAGAATTTATCTTGTTGAACTGTAAACCAATGTTTCCAATTGTATCAAAATTTATAGAACCGTATTTTAACTTGTACACTTATTTGCTTCTTTGTGTACAAAAATTTAAATGAAGCATCTAATAATCGATTAGCAGTGATCGATCGAACGACTGGGGATTCTTGGTTTAAATCGAGTCAAAAACAACATAATTATCGTTAACAAGTATCGATACTATTGATAGTTGGGTCGATTTGAGTTTCTAATTTAATTCATTTGACCGTTACGATTGGTTAATTCGCTTAATTGCAACAAAGAAAATATATCTGTCAATGATTCTAACATTGTTTTTACATCTTAAGAATCTTGTTTTAGATGATTTGGATCTAAACTTGGTTACAGTAGCGTAAAGCACGAGTAACGAATCAAAATTTATTATGATAGAGACATTTAGCGTGTACTTACGAAGTATTGAGTTATATAATTCATAGAATATACGACTCGATAGTTAAGCTTTCAAGCAGTTTTTTATGACAAGAATTTACGATTAGCCATTAAAGTGAATCGATTAGCGATTGATTCCGCGTCGCCAAAGAATTCGAAACGGTTTTAATTTCAAAATAATGAATTATTTAAGTTAATTTATCGGGAAATTATAAGTCGGTAATAAATCGATCAAGACAAAAAATATTAGTAAAGCCGTTTTTTATCTTTTATTTTCGATGTTATGTATGTATCTATTTTTTAAAATGCTATATAATATATTTTGTAAAATAAAACACTTTATAATGATCGTTCGAATACTTTGGTGATACATTGCATCTAGATGCTCCGTAGAGTACATTTGTTAATTCTTATACTGCCAGTTTTTCTGTAGAATTCGAATATCACCTATATTATTAATTAAAGAAAAAAGACAAGGAACATTTTTGCATGCGATAGTTCATAATCACCGTGTTGTCCTTTGCCCAGGCCTTTCTCTGATACTTCTAGTGTCCATACTCCCGATCCTTCGTTCATTAGATCGAGAAATAATTATACTGAGTACCGACGAATGATTTTTAAAGAAATTATATCTTCACGTCGGGTCTTTGCAACGTGTGAAGAACTTATATCTCGTCACAACTGAATTGTATATTTAGAGGAATAAAGGGAGATGGTCATTATTATCTTCAATGTACCTTTTTTCCTCTAAAATCATTGTAAGATGCACTGTTATATCCAACATTCTTTATTTTTTAAATAATCTGATTCGTTATAGGACAAGTGCTAGTTTTGCTTACAAATGAGCCATGTACTGCCATCTACCAGATTGGAAAGAATAGTAACTTAGAGTATCTAAGGATAGATGGTAGCACATAAGTTTTCCCTAGGCAAAGAACGCAATATTGTGCAACAAGAACAGACGTATAGACTGATGTTAAACAAGAAGGACGATTAATTTCACCTTTTTACCTCTAGTATCAGTATCCATAAATTGAACAAATTTTCATTACTGAAAAAAGCTAATTAAGAGGTTTAATTTATGAACTTTTATGATTGCGTCTTCCAAATTAAATCCTCAGCTTTTCTTTCATCGACGAGATAAAATTGTCCTATTGTATATCACAAAATTGTGAAGATAACCTTCTAGCGTCTCCTATATTTCAATCACATGGTTTTATTTACCTTTCCGACTTGAACTCTTTGCCTTTGTACAAGTGTATAAATTAAAAATACGATATTTTTTTAAAAATAAATTTGCCTTTTTGACGGTTGTTATAGAAACAACCTCCGTAAAATAACAAAATTAAGCCATTCAAACAGATGAGAATCTTGTTAAAACACACAAATTAAATAACGTTGTATTTCGCATTTTATGCTTATTATTTTATTTGTAAATTGTGATTCAATAGTGATTTAACCCCGACGTCAAACTGTCTCACAGCGGAGAGTACGTATTCATAGAACAATTCTTTTACATAAAACATAACCTTTTTTTATATTGATTTGATTGATTATCTTTATATTACCGTTTTACTTTTGATTTTATAGAAAAGACCGAAACCGAGGCAGCATGCCAGAACCTGTGCATCATCAAATAAACGCTGCTCGCAAAACATTTCAAACGCTTTACCAAATCTCGAAGCTACTAAATACAAATCTAGATCCTACAACGTTAAGTATATGCATACGATTATGCGAGAACGGCGTAAATCCATATGCGCTTGCAACAGTTGTTAAAGAATTACAAAGAGAAGTAAGAGCTATGGATAGTATGAATCAACTTGATTCTCCCACGAGCAAGTCTAGTTTAAATAAGTAATCGCCAATTATGTCTTCTTCATAATTTAGATACTCAAATGAACTCTGTTAGTCTATAATTTTGTACACATATTACGATTATATATTCTCAACAATGAAATATTGAATTGTTTGTATTGCTTATGAGATTATTGATTGTTGCCTAATATTATATCTTTAGTGATGTTACTGATGAATTGCTATTAGTTGAATTTGTCAATGTCTAAAGCATACTTTTAACATTTGTAATTGTTCTAGCATAAGGCCAATAAACATGTGACTAATAAGTACTGTTTATAACATTGCATATGAAATACATTTATTTTGCTGTAGAAATGATGTAGGAAAGAGAGATTTCACTTTTCTATAGGATAAATCAAGTTTATTTATGATATTTATAAGTATTTCAGTAAGTTATGAAATATTTAAATAAAAGTAATTTAAGTTGTATATTTTTACAAACAAAAAATATTTGTATCAAAAATTGTCCTGTACTTATTTGCTTATAGATATAGATATATACCTACATGTACAAAAATATACAAATGAAAAATATTCAGTATCTTTGAAAAATTTATAATATAAATTATAGCTCCTCTTGTTTGTTACTATTGTCCTTTTTAATATTTCGTTTACTTGCTTGTTTATTAAGTTTTGCCATTCTTTCATTCTAAAAAAGTCATCAGATCATTATAGATCATACAAATTTTTATTTCGTTACCCTTTTCTTTTGTTAATGTATTTTAGTATTCTCATACCTGTTTCTTTGGATCCCTAAAATAAGTTTGGCCTTCAAGAGTCACATGAGACAATTCTGGTTGTTCCAAGAAAAAGTTTTTTGCATCTACAGCTTGAGAACCCTCGTGAAATAGAAACACAGACCTTTTTTGATCAATTGGATATCTGTAAAAGATTCAACTATATTATATAAGCGTTTTTATTATTTTAACACATTAAGTATAAAATTAAGAAAAAATACTACCTTTCGGCAATAATATGATTATTTTGAAGACTAGTCTGCCAAATTTTCATTATAGTCTCAGCTTTTTCAACTGACAAATCTTCATTTGTATCAACAAACATCATCACACTTTTACCTTTTTTTGTCACTTTCAGTACATTGTCAGGATTTGACATATCAAGCTATTATATAAATAAATATAGATTACACAGAAGAACATGCAGAAAACATGATATAACAAGCTAAACAAAAAGATTATGTAAATAAATATAGATAACACAAGAGAAAGATATAATAAGTACAATTTTGTTAATTTTTTGATTTTGATGTTATTCAGTAGTTAAAAGAAGGCATTCTGGAACTGCTTTCATTGGATTTTATCCATAACCCATTTATAAGGTAAAGAGTTAATTAAGTTCAAGAATACTAAATTTGGTAAATACTTTAATATGACTATGAAAATTTAGTACTATAAAAAAGAATGATATATGTAAATATTTTTTAAAGGTATACAATATTTAAAGGTATACAAAATTAATTCATAAAGTTTTTTAAATACACTACCTTCGATAAATCAATTTTTGGGCTAGGCCTAAGATGTTCTGGTAATTCATCTGGTTCCAATGGTTCATCATTTTCCTAATAATAAAAGAATTATAATCTTTGTTAATTCCTTTTACTCTATGTAAATATAGAATTTAAAAAATTGAAAAAAAACGTAATATACCTCCCACTGATCTAACAAGAGTTCTAAATCTGCATCATTCATATCACGTATATCTTTGTCTCGCCATGACTTTTTTTTATTCGATTTTCTATCATCGATTGCATTCACGTAAATTAACAAAAGTATACTATAAATAATAATTTCGTTCCTCATATTTGAGAATTGTAAAAATCAACACGTCAATCCAAGATTTACAGTTCTTTGAAATAGTTAATACATTTTAAATGTTCCTAATAAATTACAAAAAATTTTATAGAAGTTTTTCTAAGAAATCTATATTTGAAATTTATTCTTTTATAATATATCTCAATCTCAATACACACGACTGAAATAAGAATGAATTTGTCCTTAACAAGAACAAGTTTCATTCATCTTATATCAGTACAAAAACGTGATTAGTGTTGCCACCTATCGTACTTGAAATGATGACAAGAAAGACAACAATGCCGACAGTTTTATACGATGTTATAAATTGCAAATTACAGTCAGTATGTCACTTTTGCCATTGTTTAACCTCATTAAAAATTTCATAGTGACTATTTACTAAAACTTGTACCACGAGAGACAATTCGCTTATCTTGTTACTAACGAAATAAATTATTCCAATTAACTGTATTATTTGGATACAAAGTAGGGCAGAAACGTTTTGCTAACTTTTTTCTCTTGTGTTGAAACGACTTTTGAGGTGCATCTACAGTATTACAATACGCAGTAATGTGAATTTTGTAACACTGGTTGTAACAGTTATGTAATATAATTGAATTGTTTATAAATATTTAGTATGTCTTTTAGGATTTCGTTTTTTGGTGAGAGTGCATGCAAGATAATAACGCAAGTTAAGGTTATTCAATTACAAGATGATAGATAACATTACACGACTGATCATTTATTAGTCATTGATAGACACATAATCTCTTGTATTGCTTATTTGTGATAACATGTGTGAGACTGTACTTCCTGCATCGTTTGTCACTTAATTATGTATTTTTCACTGACCAAGCGGATGATCTAAGCAATGTATAATAATCTAGTAAGTGCTTTGCCATTTCCTTTATATTTGCTAAATTAATATTGTGCATTAATTTTTTGCTATGATTTACAATTAAAAATATAAGAATAGAACTGTCTAAACATTTTTCTGAATAATATATAAACTTTGTTTTCTATTTAATGTAGTAGAAAATGTTTAAGGTGCATTGTGTTAATTATAAAAGCATTTTATTTACAAAACTGAAAATAAGAATTTTTAGATATATTGTAAGAAAAATTGAGTGATCTGTAAAATGTTATTAATGATTAAATGAAACTTTTTACATTACATTAGGTAGTAATAATTTTATTTTGCTACTTTCTAGATTGATATGAAGGTACATTGGAATCAATCTTAAAATTATCATTGAAATTTGTTGGCTTTTATAAATTGGAAAGGATACAAAAATGAGTAAAATTCAAAATGAAGCTATTATGCAAGAGATAATGGTACTTGGAAAGCTCCTGCATCAGAATGGAGAAAAAGTATTAAATGCATCTGGCAAACTCTCTTTGTCAACTACTTTACTATATAATTTAAATGAAGCTTTTTCTCTGATCGTCGATGGATGTGAAAATTTAGAAGCTTCATTTCAAGTATGCAACAGCTCAAAAATTGACATTTTCCGTGACCTGAAATTTCTACATGACTTTGTGCAGAAGACAATTGGACTAAAAGTGACTTATTGTCCAAGCAATCCTAAGATACCCATTGATATTACTAAATTTAGGTGTTTGAAATATCTAGAATTAAAAAAAATTAACATTGATACTGTAAAAGGACTCAGAAGTGTTAGAGGCCAACTTGAAAGCATTGTTTGTACTGGTAGAAAAGGAGTTTGTACCGTAAAACAACTCTTGGGTAATTATAATTAAAAAGTTATAATTTTTAATTAAAAAATGGATTTAATATTATAAACATTATTTTTATGCAGTAAATTGTGGTGGTGATACTGGTGTTGGGTTTGTATGGGGTTCTTTGAGACATTTGGCATTACCACACAATGCTCTTGAAAAATTGGATACATCTTTAGAGTTAGTACCATGGTTACAAGTAATAGATTTAAGTCATAACTTGATAACATCTGCAGATGAATTATCTTGTTTACCAAATTTAAAACATGTAAATCTTGGATATAATAAACTTGAAGCAGTACCCACCTTTAATGAAGCTGCATCACGTTTATTACAAGTACTAGTTCTGAAGAATAATTACATAGAAAGTTTAAATGGTAATGTATTAATGTATTTAATTATTTTGAGTTTGAGTTTAAGTTTAAGTTTTATATTTCTTTCAGTACATTAGTGTTACATCAAAAAATGGTGTTTCTAAAACCATTCTGCTTTCATATTGTCAGTTTGCTTATGCCATTGCACATACATACATAATTTATAAAAGCAAAAATATATTTATGAATTATTTTTATTCAAACAGGTTTGCAAAGTTTGGAATGTTTAACAGCATTAGATTTATCTTACAATTGTTTGATGGAACATTCAGTCTTGTGGCCTTTAGAGAAAATGTCTGTTTTGTTATGGGTATCCTTAAAAGGCAATCCCTTGTCATATCATCCAAAACATCGATTATTATCCATAAAACATTTACATCCATGTTTGAGTGATAGCAAGGTAGGTAGATGTTAAAAACGATAATATGTTATATTATTACAAAATGTAAATTTCGCAATATTTAAGTATTATATAAGTATAAATAAAATTTCACGATTTAGTTGGTTGTAGATCATTCATCACTTTCAAGATTAGAGAAGCAAATTATTGCAGAAAATCGATTCTTTATCGTCAGATCTGAAAAATCCGTGTCGAACGAGTTACTCAACTCAGTGTCAAATTCCTTAAATTCTAGTAGTTTACTTACATCTATTAACACGTCTACGATTAGTGATTTTGTAGCAGGAACATCTGCAGAAGGGACAGGTAGCATGGAAAAAAGTTTTTCTAAAAGTAAAAAGAAATCAAGCATAAAGGAAGCAGTTATCGCGGAAGTCGAGCAAGAAAAAGATGATTTAAAAGCAGATCGTAGTATTTCTTGCTTAGGTAATAAATTACTTTCAATTTTAATCATTTTTTTATGATGTTGAGACATATAATATATTATTTTTTTGATATTATTATTCACAGAAATTTCAAAAGGACATTTAGAAACAAAAAAACAAATTTTGGAGATACGAAGAAGATATGGAGAAGATAAGTGGTTAAGTAGTCAAGCTGGCACATTTGTTCAAGATATTATGGGAATACAACCTCCGACATATTCAATAACATCGGAATTTACGATAGAAAATTTAAACGCTAAAGATATTGTGCATAGTATTGAAGATTCTGTGAATCTTTTGATGAAAGATACACACATTGAATTAAACGATAAATCTGAATCTTTAAAGCAAGAAATTAATGAATTTAACGACGAAAAAAATAGAAGTAAAGTATTAACCGAAGAAGAGAATATTTCTGAGGTTTTATTGAACAATGACACAAGCGTTCTTGAGAATCTATCTGAGCCTCCTTATGATCCAGAACAAGGTATATTATAAAGAGTAAATTGTATATATCGTTAAAAAATTACTTTATTTTAATTGTTGCATTTTTAATATCTAGAAGTTGGGAATTTGTACCGGGTTCAAAAAAGGAAAAATTCAAACGAATTGGAAGATTTGTTTTTAATAATAACAACACAGTACGTATTCTTTATTGTATTAAAGAATTTTACACTTTCATTTTATAATATAATTATAGTGTTATTCGAGAGAGAGATTCACTTACTGGGAAACTGAGATGCTGTTGGTCAACAAGTTCTGTATTATCGTGTGTACTTGGTAGAAGTGAACCAGTGACAGTAGATATAATTTTCGATACCACACGCGAACATCGTAAAAACAGGAGATATTTCGTAGAACCAAACATTGCAAAAGTAAGAAATAAGAAAATACAAACATAGATATAAATAACATGTAAATAGTATTAATGTACTACATATTTGGTCATTTTGTAGGAAATAGTTCAAATAATTAACGAGAGAATAGAAAAAAGAACGATATTGTTGAAAGTTTTTAAATGTATGAAATGTTCAACTCATTTTTCCCAAGATTCAGAATATATTTTCATAAGTTCATCTGCATCAGGTACATTTTCAATAATAGTTATAGATTGGAAGACATTATAAGTTACAAGCACGTTCAGTATTGTAAAAAATTCCAAGTTCCAGGTACAAACCAATTGAAATGTCCCACCTGTGGAAGTACTTTAGTTATAGAAACAGACGAATTATCGATGTTGGATATGGAAAATGATACTTCTAAAGGTTTATTGGAAAGCGTAACCAAAAATCAACATTCTGAGAATTCAGTAAAAACCAATCTACAACATTCTGAATCTTCTTCTAGCATTGGTAAGTCTCACTCAGATCTGCGCATGTAATATGAAAATGAATGAAACATCTGACAAAAGTTGTGGATTTTTTAATAATGAGCTGTAATATCTTGAGTTTAGTTCATATAACACAGTTTTTATAATTTATGCGTGGTGTTCAAATTTATTTATTTTAAAATATTAAGCATGTAATAAGAGCTATGTATTTATGAGGTTTCTATAATAAAAATTAACTATATATATTTATTTGTTTATAATGTTAAGTTTTTGTAATACTAGTATCTTTAAGTTTTATGATAAAAATAATATTTATTAATTTATCAAATGTGGATGCACTAATTTCGTAACTGCTGACTGCATATCCGTGCATTGTACTATTGACTGAGACTATAACATACTAATCCCGGTGCAGGTGGAGCGGGGGTACGAGCTATATCCGTCACCACTCCTTTGGTGCACTCCGACTCTCACATCCAAGCTCAAGTTCGCTGTAAGCTTCAGTCACACTATCTTATTACAGCATTTTCTGTTTTCTCAAGCTTTCTTCACGATAGAAGATATAAAGCTATGATATTAGTTGCTTTACTATCTACGATTCTATACTACTATTATTAAATATCTTAGGCTCGTATTTTCATTTTTGTTTTTGCGATACATTCGTTTATTCTAAACAATTATAATAATTTGCATCAAAAGAACTAGCCATAAGAAAAAATACATAAAAACCTATAAAGGAAAATGTGGCCTTTTCAAGTTAAATAAAACAAAAAGAAAAGTATGAGTATCTTTTTGATTAATATATTCAAATAACAAATAGTATATATTAAATTTAGATGAGTTGTAATTACTTTACTTTGTTATTAATAGGTTCAGCAACAAGTTTAGAGGAATCAAGAGAATCAACACCATCTGCAAATGTACTAGATAAAAAATATGAAAGTGATATAGAAGTACTCAGCAATCCAAGTGAAAGTAGCATTGAAGTTCTAGATGATGGGTCAAGGTAAATTATAATTTTTAATATTTTTGGTATAGACAATTATTCAATATGTTCATTTATGTAAAATTTGTTCTATATTATGTTCATATTAATACAGAACACATCTTACACCACATAGAAAGCGTTCTTCGGAGGAAAGACGTGCTGCAGTTGCTCCATGTCTTTTAACAATACCAGATGCAGCACCAATCATGACTGGTTTAACAGAGAGTAGCTCTTCAGGTTTGTTAAAACTTTCATTTTTCTTTTTGTTATAAAAATTATTTTAGATTTATTATTAAAATGCTATGTCTACAGGTTCTTTAACGAATAGTATTTGTACCGCATATGAAAACAAAGCAATGAGACAAATTAGTGCAGATGAAAAATCCCTTAGTAATAATGATAAAGAGACCAAATCTACGCCAGTAACAAATTTAACTTCTATGCTAGGAGGTTAGTAAAATTATATATTTTTTAATATATTAACATTTAATTTGTGTATATATCAATATTTATTTAATGTGAATAATTTTAGGACTACTTCAGAGTATAAAAATTGGCAGTAATAAACCATTAGAGCTAAAAACGGAAGAAACATCGCATTTAATGGGTAGTAATATCCAGTATTCTTATGAGGATTTCAGTAGTATAGATCATAGAATAAAACTACACATCATTTTAAATATATTTGAACATGAAAACGAAGAGCTTATTCTTCTTCTCAGGGTAACATTGAACTTCATATAATCCAAGCCGTTAAACTAACATTCTAACTGAATGTTGTTAATTTATTCGTAAATTTTTAGGCAGAGATCCTAATGCAAAATACAAAAGATACATTTCCTGGTTGTGTGGTTTTATCTACATCGAAAGTTTATATTCTTAAAATTGTTGGACCAGAAGGGTAATGATAAAATAAAACATAATTTTATTAGAATTCCATTTATTGGAAATCTGTTCTATTTTTATATTGTTGTTATTATAGAGAAGACCCACAACGCTGGTTGCATAAAGAAATTAGCTGGACTATAGATAGATTAAGACGTTTCTCTCCGATACCATTTAAGCAAGGTGTCTTGATTGAATTAGAACAACCTAACAAAACAAATGACGAATTGAATTCTACTATTACATTTTTATGCGTTTTACAAGACTTACAAAGAACGCTCAACTTTTTGCTTTATGTTACTGGTAAAGAATAGAAACGTCGTTTATTTTATACTTAAATACTATCCAGCCAATAACTTCGTTATTAAATAAATTGTTCTTTATTTGCAGATTTTTTATTACCACCGATTTGTGAAGAAGTCGAACTCAAAATATCAGAACATTGTACTTCTTTAATACATGAATTATTAAAAAATTGCAAAAACTACCAAGATAAAGATACTATTAGGCACCTTGCTTTATTCTCTTCTGCCTTGTTAAAATATCAAGACCTCGAAATTCAGCTGAAATTATCAAGCTTAATAGTGACTACTTCCGTCTTGGTAATATGCAATATGCAGTGGCTTCTTCCAGGCAACAAGGAGTTGCCACAGATAATAAGAGAACAAGCAATGAGCAATTTGATTGGAGTTGTAAGTATCGAAATGATATTAGTAAAATTAAAAAAGGAAATCTTTACGAAAAACTGTACTTTGATTTTTTATAATTAAACGTATTGGTTGTTATATTTTTAGGAACATTATAGCTCCTCAATAACTTTGAATTTCTTAGATGAAATAATAGGACAAGAGGAAAGGTGGGTTTTAGACTTCGTTTCTATGAGTGCTGCTGAAATAGTCATTACTTCTATACGGTCTCCATGGGAGGAACTGTTTTCAATTCCCTTACAAAATATGGTTTGTAAATCACAAGATAGCGAAAACGCATAGAACACTGATATGTACAGGAAAGTATTCTAGTCGTATAAAACACGTCATGTGAACTTTTAAACGAGTATAGGTTCATTAAATCAAATTAATAGTTTACGCAATTTTGATGTGTTAGTGAAACTCATAGTTAATTTGTACAGAAATTGTAATTTCACCAAATGACCACATAGAATAGTATATTATTTGACTAATAAAAATATATAAAAATTATAATATAGCAAATATTATATCATAAATAATACTTGCTTGTTTTTATTTTTAATTGATTTGTTATTTTGTATCTTTTTCCAACTAGAAATTATTTAAATACTTATTATAAGAAAATACAATGTAAAAATTGGGAAAAATATTTAAAAGTTTCATAAGTAGTGTGAACAATCATTTTCATATCTAAAAAAATTAATTATCTTATACAGATATATTTATGGTAACTTTTTTTAATTGTATTGAAATATTAAAAATAATATATCTTTTTAAATGGTTTCTAATAATTTTTTATATTCAATTTGTTGAAAGATATAAAATTTCAAATGGTGCTATTAATATTAAGATACAATACATAACCTTTTATATCAATAATTTATTGTATACATTAAATAACTAAATGCTTCACAAAACAGAAGTTATAGTTTATTTATTATTTTATTATTAGGAACATTATACATACTCTACTCAACAACAACAAATTTGTTTTTTACTTGTCATAATGTTCAATTTAATGTAGTTATCGATACGATGAAAATTTTTATAATCACATGATTTTTATATTGCAAAGAGAATAAAGTATATAAACTTGTCTTTTTTAAAATATGTTTTGGAAATATCAGAAGCATAAAAATCTTATAAGTATTCAAAGAATTTGTATGCTTTCTTTGCAATACTATAGAAATAAATGCAATTTTCATCATGAACAATACTTAAATAATAATCTGTGATGAACTGATTTTTATTATTTATCTTTCTACCTATACATATATATGTATTTCGTGTGCATGTGTACATATTGTAAAACTATATTATATTACGATTTATAACAAGATGAAACAAATGTAAGACAATTTTATAACAACTTTGTCAAAGTCACTAATACCTTAGCTTAAATATTAGAGCTAATTGTAAATTTACGTATTGTACCGATTATTCTTCGCAAAATGTTGAATTTTTAAATAATTAATATAACAATGTATTATGATGGTATATATTATTTGTATATATGTAAATAAATTGTTATAATATCTATTATACAAGCTATATCATAAAGTCATATCAAAGAAAAACATATACTTAAAAGTGAATATTATGTACAGAGCAAATGTACTTGAATTTCGTGTTACTATAGTTCTACTTGAAACAAAATACACTGAGATGTGTGTACATAAGATATCCTGTATTAATGATGATAATGGAGTATGCAATATGTAAATGAAACAGTTGGGAGATGCTAGAAATAACTTAGTGTGTTTCATGGGCCCATACACAAAGTATATATTGCAAGAATGTGCAATTATCGTATTACATTGCTTGTTAATAGTATCGTTAAATGTCGTTCGAGTTGTAAGAGCAAAATTGAAGTACTAAATTGTGAGGAAGAATAAATTAAAATTACATTAACATGATCTGTATTATAAAATGTGTAGTATTGGTGACAGCTAGTAAGTTTAATTATTTTTATATTATTTTATTGTATTATTTGTAACAGAAAAATATTTTTTTAGTACCAATTATAGCTGGATACTTTAGCTATAGTAAACGTGGTATGTATAATGTCTCCCAATACATTTCTCATAATATTTTTATTCTTCATTCAATATAATATTCCAGATCAACATACATGGATTCAAAATTTTAAATTATGTGCTGGAAAATTGCAATCTCCAATATCCATATCATCATCCAAATCAATAACTCTTCCTTTACCTGCACTTGAAGTAATTGGCTATCATGATTTTTTACCCAGTCCATTATATTTGGAAAACAATGGTCATTCAGGTATTGTCATTGGATTTTATCCCAGAATAATACTTAATAAGTAGTCTATGTCTGTTTTTTCAGTTGTAATTAATATAAATAATCACTTAAGAAAAAGACTACCTTATATATTTGGAGGCTCACTTGATATAAATGAAGAATATGAAGTAGATCATTTGCACTTTCATTGGGGTGCAAAAAATAACAGGGGATCTGAGCATATTTTAAATGGTGTTAGGTAAAAGAACAAAACATATATATAAACTTTATTATTTTTATTTAATTTTCTCATGTATCCTATAGATATCCTATGGAAATGCATATAGTTCATAAAAATAGGGCTTATTCAAATTTATCTAATGCACTAAATTACAAAAATGGTCTTGTAGTTCTAGGAATCTTTTTCCAAGTAAGTTCTTATAAAATAAATCTTTTTTCAGAACGTTACTTTATTTAGGGTTTATATTTAGTTACAGGAAGAAGATAACAAATCCTTACACTCTATCGTAAATGCCTTAACGAACGTGCAATTCTTAAATAATGAAATAGCATTAAATAAGCCTATAAAACTAGTTTCATTATTGCCTAAAAATACGGATGTATTTTATACTTATAAGGGTTCATTAACTACACCACCATGTAATGAAGTAGTAACCTGGATAATTTTTCCCATGCCTGTATCAATATCTGTTTCACAGGTACTCCTTTATTATATTACAATTAGTTTCAATCAATATCTTTTTTCATAGAAATTTATTTCTATATGTATTATCTGTTTGCAGTTAAAGAAATTTAGAAATCTTTTCAGTAAAGATGGTATGTTAACTGATAATTATAGAAAATTACAAGATATAGGACTTAGAAAAGTGTATGTTAGAAGATTAAATCCATATTTAGTTGCAAAATATAACGAAGAGATTTTTAATGTTACGAATTTAAAGTGGTTTTCGTAATTAAATGAATTTTAGATTAAATTAATTTTCCAACTTTGAGTTGTTTAAAGAAAATAAAATACGATATATTTTTGTGAAGTATTCAAAAATATTTAAAAAAAATATTGAATTGAAAATGTAAATTTCTATGATGTTTAATTAAGAATTATGAGTAATCTTAGAAATAATTTACATTACACAAAGATATCTTATTAGGCAAAATTAAATGGTTTCGAGTAGTATATCACAAGGTATAATTGTACTGTAAATGGCGGCATTTTAAAGCTTTAAAAATTACTTTTATCTTTTTAAGTTGATTTATATATATATTTTTACGCGAATCAATACGTATTTTTATTCTCTAGGAAAAAGTGTTAAGTATTCTTGTGTTTACTTTCCTTGTCTTTCATTTGACAAGATTCACAAACTTAAAAGATAAAATATCTTTCAAATTGATCGTATTAATCGTAAATAAATTTTAAAATATCTTGAAATTTTTTAAAGCCTTCACTCTCTTACTATTCTAAACTGTTTAATGTTGTTCAAAGAAATTTTCTTCTATTTCCAACTATTTTAAAACTATAAATCACTAAATTATGTAATATAAAAAGAACTAAATAAAAACTGACGAATGATGTTCAATAAAGGATCCTTTTATTTAATAAGAACAATATAACATAAATTTCATAAATAGATGTAAAAGAATAAAGGTGATGAATAAATACGTTTTTATCAAATATATTTATTAAAGACAGGCAGAAACTTTATCAATCGTCGTATGTAATACGTATGTATATGTACATACATATAGTCGTATGAACTAGTTGAGTCTATCCGTGTAAGTTTGGTGTGTATATAGTCATCTAATGAAGTGACTGCAAGTAGCTAGAGAATGTGAAGGTAGAGTTGGTGTAATCACGTATTTCGTTAGAAGACATTGACAATATCACATTTTTTAACAATGTCGTCATCCAAATTACAAAAAATTTAAAGCCAATCGATAAATATAGATAAATTAAATCGTCTTCGATAAATTCGAAATATAGACAACGAGTGTGACGTGACAGTGTATTTATTTTAAACAGAGATTTCAACAGCCTGAATGATGACAATAATTAAAAACGTTTGGTGGCGGTAATTACAGCAGCCATAAGATCACACAGATTATTTTTTTCATCTGTGTGTTGTATTAGTTCTACACAACATATACGAACACCTTGAAGGTTATGCGGCAATTCTTATCGATCGATTTTACTTTCGTGCCTGACCCGCTTACTGTTTAACGTGTATCCAGAGCACGAAAATTGACCAAATAATTTATTTGTTATCGTGAACTAAAAATATTTTCTTATAGAAACCTTTTTATTTCGTAAAATAAGAATTCGAAGATGGTTTTTGAATCGATTGTTGCCGAGCTCCTGAACAAGGTGTTGGGAGAGTATATTCAAAATTTGGATTGCACGCAATTAAAACTGAGCTTATGGGGAGGTAAGCATTCACGAACAGTTACGAAAGAATTGTCTTGAAAGTTACGAGCGTTCCATGTATGTATGTTCAGTTACAAGGAGTGCCCTTCTATTTAATTGCAAAGTCCGGCGAGGCCCTAGGAAATTTTAAAAAATAAAACGCATTCGATGATAACACATGATAACACACAGTTTGATATTTCATAAATATGTACATACAGATATATTAATAGTACGTCGAAGTGAGATCAGCTTCTATTTATGTTACGATCTTTTCGACTTTATCGTTTTATTGCTTATGGTTTAGTACATGTATCAAAATTATGAATGCACATATATACATACATTAAAATTAAGAAATATGTTTTGTAACATATAAAGTTATATGTTAAGACAAAAAATAAACAATTTATATGTGTTGCTTCAATGTTGTTTTGTTTGAAAAAAAGAATATTTTCGTTACTTTTGCCATGTAGTTGTTATTTTAATTACTTAGTTTATTATTAGTTGCTTTACTATCACAGTATCTTATAGAATTTTAAATATTTAAATTCTTTTACCATTACTGTGTACATAATATTTTGTTCTTGTATATTAAATACAAGTACTATATAAATACAATAGAAAGATATTTATGTAGTGTAGTTTTGTATTTTTTCTCTTACAAAATCCTGTAAACCAAATTTTATAATTTATTTTTATTTGCATAAAAAAATTAACTAGATTCATTTATTTTTCAAGAGTTAATTATGCATACACATAAAATAAGAAAATATTTTTACAAAATTTTATTATGATATGTTACGGTACTTTTCTTTTCAATGTATATTGCAGTATTTAACTAGAAATACATATCTACCTATTATTTGTTTAGGAATAAAGATATACTTTTTATTTTTACAAAAGCAATGAAAACACGTTTATAGTTATACACGTTATAGTTTCTTCCTTTTAGGTGATGTAGTGTTAAAAGACTTATTAATAAAAGAAAGTGCATTAGATATACTGGATCTACCTATTCGATTGGAATATGGAAGATTAGGTTTGTAAATAAAATTATGTATACTTGTATAATAAATAACAAAACATAAAATTAATCTTTATAAGTTTATTTTTCTATCTTCCTTCAGGAAAACTTATATTAAAAATACCATTCAAAGATATGTGGAATGGACAAATTGATGCAATAGTTGAGGAACTATTTATACTTGTAGTACCTTCAAGTCAGGTTGCTTATGATGCAGAAAAAGAAGCAAGAATACAACTTGAAGCAAAACATGCAGAACTTGCAAGAGTTGAAAAAAAGAAACAATTAGCAGATATCAAATGTAACAATATTTCATTAAATAATTTTATGATTTTGTATCTTTTCTAGCAGTCATTATTTTATTTGTATCTTTTAGCACAAGAAAAACTAGATGATTCAATGATTGAAAAACTCATTGCCCGTATGATAAAAAATATTCACATCGAAATCAAAAAGATACATGTGAGATATGAAGATCATATCTCATACAAAGACCATCCTTTTTCAGTTGGTTTTACATTGAGTACATTTACCTTAGAAAGTTGTACAGATTCTTGGCAAACAACTGGTAACTTAAAAGATATGTATGCTATTCCACAAATTTACAAGGTATGTGGAAACCCAGTAAATAAACAGTGCTAAAGGTGTTGTTGAGAATAAAACATATTTTTTTCCAGTTATGCACACTAGATGGTTTGGCAGTGTATCTCAATACAACTCTAGAACAGTTTAGTAATACAAAATCAAATTATTTAAATTTATTTCATAATGGAATTGCAACCATAGATTATAATCCACCTGGTTATCAATACTGTAAGTAAATATAAGTTAGAATACTATATATAATACATAAACGAATATTAATACCAAATTAATTAATTTCTCATCATCTAAGTTTTATAATTAAAAACTTTTTCATAATTGTTTCTTTCTTGTTTAGTATTAGGTCCAATCAATGTCAATGCAAAGTTAAAATTAAATCCAAAGCCAGAAACAGATGGAAGTAACTATACGATTCCCAAGGTATGGTTAGACATGGAAATGCAAAAATTAAGAATAGGATTAGCAAGGAAACAATATCAAACCATCGTTCAATTAGGAGAGGGTTTAGATCAAGCTCAGAAAGCTGCACCATTTAGAAAGTATAGACCAAATTTAACATCATACAGAGGACATTATAAAGAATGGTAACAAATTATCCTGAATAGTTAGAAATAAAAAGAAGATGTTTGTATAATAAGTAATTATCCTCAGGTGGAAGTTTGCATATGTTTGTGTCTTAGAAGAAGAAGTACGTAGAAAACGTAGAAATTGGGATTGGAATCATATGAAAGAGCATCGAGATATGTGTCGCTCTTATGCTGACAGTTATCAAACAAAATTAACGACCAAAAAAGTCACACAAGAAATAGCAGATCATCTTACTCAGTGTGAAAGAAGATTGGACATTTTTAATTTAGTCATTATTAGGCAAAAGATAGAAATGGAAGTTAGTTGACAAAAACTCTTATTTCATAAAAAAAATATATATTTTTTATGATCGTTAATAAGTTGGATTTTTACTTGTATTTCATAGGTAGAGAGAATGGCTGAAAGAGAAAAAAATCTAAAAGCGAAACGCGGTTGGTTCGGTTTCTTGTGGTCCAGTACACAGACAGAGGAAACACAAGAATTGAATTCTGCAGCTGCTATAAGTAATACATTCGATTATGTACTATTTTAAAACACATAAATTAAATAATTTTCTTATTTACTCTCCTTGATTTATTTAAATATTTTAGTGCGGAAATTCGAGCAGGCAATGACACCACAAGAGAAAGAAAAGTTATATAGAGCGATTGACTATCAAGAAAATAGTGCACCAGCTCATTATCCCGAAACATATGAAATGATCGACACACGATTTCTTTTACACGAGCTACAAATTATAATTTTAGATACAGATAAAGAACATCCTTGTATTTTGGATCTTCAACTTCATAGTGTTGAGGCTGGTTTCAAATCGAGACCATCTGCTAATGCTATTTTGTGTGTTTTTTATTATAAAAATAGTTCTGATAAAAATTTGAATTAATATATAATGTTTTTTTTTTGTTATAGAGTTACAGCATCAATTAATGAGATGAAATTATTAGGAACGAAACAAGATGAACATATTCCTTCACTTTTTAATTCCCATCAGCATGGCGCAGATAATGTTTTAATATCAGTGTCGTACGAAAAGAATCCTCTCGATAAATTGTGTGGCGATCGTATGATAGTAAAATCGAAATCTGTGGATATTATTTACGATGCACAGACCGTGATAGAAATAGCTAATTTGTTTAAAGTACAAAATTCATCGACTTTGAACAAGTAAGAGTATTATATATATTATACTGTTTTTCAACAGTAGGTATTTTGACATTTAAATAATTACTTTCATGCACAGTCTTCAAGCAGCTGCTGCTGTACAATTAGAAGGTTTGAAAGAAATGTCGGCTTTAGGTTTGGAGCATGCTATTCAAAAGCATTCAGTATTAGACATACAGGTAACAATTCATTCAACAATATACATTCGTTATAATGAACAAAATTTAATATCTATAAAAATACATAAATACATAACAGGTTAATATGCAAGCTTCTCAGTTAATCATACCACATGATGGATTTTATGATAGTACAAAATCATTATTAGTTGTAAATCTTGGTAGCTTGCAAATACATTCTTTGGAAAAACCAAAGGGCGATGATAAGACAAATGTATCTGTTAAACAATTAATCAGCATGGGTAAAACTGAAGAAGATGTGTTATTGCATCTTAGAGAACATAGTTATGATAAATTTGTTTTAAAGATAGTCGATTTTCAAGTATGTATTTTCAATTTCTTATGTATCAAATGTGTAGTCATCATTATGATCACGTTTAACTATAATGTAAAATAGGTATTAGTTTCATTGCCTGGCGAAGAATGGCGCACGGTATTATCAAATGTGGATGATTCTATGACATTATTACACCCAACAACGCTTGAAATCCAATTTCACAAATGTTTAATAACGGACGATCCATTACTTCCGAAATTAAGGTTGATAGGCCAATTACCATCAGTTGTTGTTAATATAACAGGTATCATTTTGGGACAAAATTTTGTTTTAGTAAATAGTATATATTAATAATACGCAGAATATAATCTTCTCTTTTAAATTTTTTAGATATTCGTTTATTGCAAGCTCTTTCTATTGCTCAGAGCATACCGCAGCCAAAAGAGGAACCAACAGATCTCCAGAAGTCATATATGGTATATTTTGTATTATACATCGATTATTAGATGTTCTATTCTGATTAAAAAATATTTTTTAGAGTAAATCTGTTTCACAATTATCTTTGCTGAAAGATATAACTACTACCATTGCTGAGAAGAAGAAAGAAGAAGATTCTACTGTAACTTCAGTTAAACAAACGATTGATATGGAAATGAAATTTGAAATGAAAGGTAACAAATGAAGTTTTATAAGTAATTAGATTTTAATCAAAAATTATATTATTTATTATAGAATTTGCAATACAAGTTTCATCCCAAAAGGGTAATGAAATAATACCATTTGTGAAGTTCGAGGTACTACAGTTAGAAGCAGAGATGTTACAAAGGACTTATGATCAAGAGATATTATTAAGATTAGGTGGAGTTCAAGTCAAGCAACATTACAATCAAAGAGAAATATTTATGATAACCACTCCAATGTTATCAGGTAGACATGAATATTTGATAACAGTACAGTATATAAATGTAAGTAAATAGATTTATATTATTAAATAAATTATTCACAGGATATAATTTAACTCTTTTATATTTATTTTTAGGTAAATAAGCGATCTCCTGAATTTAAGACGAAATACGGATCTGTTCTTCAATTATTAAAATTAGAATTTACAACATTGGATGTTTTATTACATCAAGAAGCTCTTATAAATCTTCTTCAATTTATATCATATGTGCAGGTAATTTATAGTAGCAACAAATTTTGCGTATATGAGTAATAAAGCGCAAATTATATTGTCTCATATTTAAATTGTAGGATCAAATGAATGTCATAGCAACTAGTAAACTTGAAAAAGAGCCTCGCATACGTCCACGACCTTCTCATTTGGTTTCCATTCAAGAAGAAACTTCTACATTTTTAAGAGAACAAATTCAAAAGCAAAAATTTAGGTCAACGGCACGTAAGTACACTTCTATTATATGTTTTTATACTTTAAAGTTGAAGTTATAAATTATAATTATACATATATGTTTAGGACGGAGAAGAACAATGATGGAGCACGTAGATCTAAAAGTCCAAGCAAAAGTTGGGACTATTTGTATGAAGATAACTAGTGATTGTAGAGAAATTTCTGCATTTTATATCGACGGTATCACTGCCGGATTTATAATGAAAGCTTCCTATTCTCAAGCAAATGTTAATTTATCTTCTATTAGCATTAAAGATCTTAACGAAGCGTCAGGTTACAAGGATGTAAGTCTTTATTTTTTTATTAAATCAATTAAATGTTAATTTATTGTAATAATATAATTAATTACTGTTTTGATATATAGATTGTATCAGTGACAGAAGATACTGAATCCTTGCAAATCCAAGCTATAATGTATAATATTGAGTCGTCAGACATTGATAAAAATAATATGTCTATCACAGTTGTTATGGGCTGTTATCGTATCGTCTTTTTGAATATGTTTGTTACTAGTATAATGGTAAAAAAATCTTATATAATAGTGAAAATATCTTAATAAATAGATGGCATTAAAGAATATTTCATCTTTTAGAGTTTTTTAAACAATTTTCAAACGGCACAACAAGCCATAAGGGATGCATCAGCAGCAGCTGCAGAAGCCGCGAAGACAAATATTAAAGACGTTAAAGAAAGTGCGGCACGTATTGGCCTTGCAGTAAAAATTAAAGTATATAGAAAAATGTGTAGAAAAATAATTCGATTTTTTGTTTACTAAATCATTTACGTTATGACGAAATTGTTATCTAGGCTCCAGTTATATATGTACCAATGCATTCGAAAAGTGATCATTGTTTAACACTAGATATGGGTAACCTTACTATATGTAATGTTTTTAAGAAGTTAGAAGTTACAAATGATGCTGGAGATTGTCCTATTGTCGATGAAATGAGAATCGAGCTACAAAATTTAAAGTTGTCCCGGTAATAATTATTTACAGAATTTAGTAACATTTACTAATTTTGATAATCGCAATTATTTAATGTATTATTTTTACAATAGCGTAAGACTAAATATGGAGAAGTTCGCGATTGAAAACGAAATATTGCTGTTAGAACCAGTCAGTTTTACATTACTCATTAAACGTAATTTATCTACTGCCTGGTTTACATCTATACCTGATATTGACATGTCGGGTAGACTAAATAAAATTAATATATTAATAAGTAAAGAGGATTATGCAACTACATTGAAAGTATTAGAAAAAAATTTAGGTGAAACAGTTGAAGATACAAAGCTCACGGCAAGTGTTAGTCAATCCGAAAAGAAACTCGAAGTAGAAGTTTTACAACATCGACAAAGTGGTAAGAATATATAATTTGCTTTATTTACAATAAAGTAAAGAAATTATGAACTAATTATGTCTTTATCTGAGCAGATAGGTTTGTAAGAGCTACTGCAGAAGATGCAGAAGATCCAAACTCGCAAGAGCAAGTACATACACACACGTCCATTAAATTTGAGTTTGTTATGGACAGTCTTATGATTACTTTATTTACAGGAGGTTCAAAAATGGTAATTTCAATGAAATATATATATACATACAACCGGAAAATTTTTATTTTGTAGATAGTGGGATAGTAAGTTGATAACAACATATGTATAAATTATTCAAATTAATTACAGCTGCAATCACAAAGTTCTCTGCTTCATCTACCGGAGAATGGATTAGCGAAATTTTGTTTAACCCATTTCGCGTTAAAAGGTCGAATATTTGCCGATGGATTAATGGCAACTTCAATTCTTCTTATGAACTGTACTTTGGACGACATACGTCAAAATAGGCAAGGTTCTCTTACAAGAATCATGGAAAGAACTACGGCAGTGCCTTCTATGGATGATATAGAAAAAGAATCCAAACCTGTTCGCAGTATGTTAGATATGACCATTAGACAAAGTTCAAATGACATGTTTGGTGAGTTGAACAATATTTTTTAATTAATATAGAATATGTCCTTATTGCCATTAAAAAATTTTTAATTGAGTTTGTTTTCAGTTGATATTCGAGTCTTTTCATTTAGTATTATTGTGTCACTTGACTATTTAATGAAAGTGAAAGATTTTTTCACTACTGATGAACCATCGACAAATAAAACAGTGCAACCAAAGAATTATAACGAATCAGCAGTTAAAAAGAAACAAACTGTATCACCAACTAAAAAAATGTTTACGGTTAATGTACATATTGAGAAACCCGATATTATTTTGTTAGAGGACATGGATGACATAAATTCCAATTGTATCATATTAAATGTAATATCTACTTGACGTATTTTTATTGGTGTATATGATATATATTGTTTCTTTCATATGTGTAACATTTTTTCAGACTGAATTACTGTTGAAAGTACGTATAATGGATGAACATCAAGTAATAGCAGGCACCATAAAAGATTTATCAATTCTAGCTGGTATATATAATACCGCGAAGAGAAGTGATTGGATATATCAGGTAAAGATTCTTATAAAAATGTTCACTTATGATTCATATTATTCCTACATGTGAAACTACTAAAATGTTAATTTTATAAAGGTGCTAAGACCATGCAGTGTAAGTGTAGCAGGTTCTACACCAGAAGGAAAAGGACTTCACATTGATATTTGTTGCACAGACATTCACTTATCAGTTTCGCCAGGTGATTCAATAAATTATTGGTAATTAATGTCGAAATTGAATCACTAATCAAATTTGCTATTTATAGGTGTCATAGAAATATTGAATAAAGTAGTTCATACTGCTACAAAGACACAAGAGCAAGATCAGGAAGTTATTATTACTGAGCGAAATTACGAAGGATTATGGGTTGTCACTCCATTTGAAGAAAATGATTTTTGGTTTTTAAAAACAGGTTCTTAAAAACATATATAATATATATATATATATGTCGGAGATGAAAGGACATCGAAGCCTCCCCTTTGGAACTTCGGGAAAATCCCTTAACACCGTAATCTAGACTCTATCATAGGTGTAATTAAACAATTGTCGTCTTTCGATCCGATTGTATTTGTTCGAGATTTGTGATAATGAGCCTGGGCTCGAGGCGACAGTTAGTCGCCGAACGTAGCCGCAGTTACGGGATGAACACTTTGTCTAACAAAGGTATGAAGTAATTCTATAACTCTCCTTGAAAGAAATATTTGTGGCGGCACGCGACAGTAAACATTCCAACGGTTTCTGTCCCGTGGCTCGCGGATCCTATTCTTCGGATATGATGGTTACCAGATGCCGACGCGTCTCCACAGTACGTGATCAGCTAGCCCGAGGGCCGTTATCTAAGATCTAGTTACCTAAAGTCCTTCAAACAGACAAACAGTCTTTGTCCCAACTACGGGAAGATAGGAGAGACCTATTTTTCAACGAACGGCGTCTCCCACCAACAATTTTCCCTCGAGGGCGGGTAGCATCTTTTTCTAACCACCGATATGGAGATTGACCAATTAGCAGCAACGTCAATTTCCCTTACTTTCTGAACGAAGGCTATCCTCGTCGAATCCGATGATCTCGTGTCTTTAGACACACCCCATATAGTTTTCCTCTGTGGCATCATCGGGATGAAAACTCATTCCTTCTTGCGACCCCATCGACGAATAGAGTAACACTTTACGATCAGCGAATATTACGCGTCCGACTTAGATTTTGTGAGCACGTTCATCTCTNTCGGCGAATCAGATGATCTCGTGTCTTTAGACACACCCCATATAGTTTTCCTCTGTGGCATCATCGGGACGGAAATTCATTCTTGCGATCTCGTCGACGAAAGGAGTAACCCCTTACGACCAGTGAATGTTGCGCGTCCGACTTGGGTTTTGTAAGCACGTTCATCTGTCATCCCGTCGACCGCGGCTTCGTTATTGAACCTAGGATCATTGTCATCAGTTTCTCGAGTATCTAATTACCGCGGTTACTTGTCCGGTTCTATGATAACCGTATTTGCACTAGTCACAATATTGCATAACGACAACGTGTAGTCCAAACGAAGATTCGTTTCACGTCCCTAACCCTAATTCTAATGTAAACCCGACATATATATATATTTATTTATTTATTTGTTTATATTTAATGTACACTTAAGTTCTTATTATTTAACGCGATTTGCTTCTATATGTTTTCTATTCTTTCTTTAGAAGTAGGAGTAGAGGCCATAGAAGATATTGTATATTCTGATGATGAAGATACTACAGTTTATAAGCCAGAATTAGCAATAATCTCTGCACCAACAATTTTACTCACATTAGAAGCAGGCATTGGTAATAAAACATTGCCAATGCTTCTACTTCATATTGGCTTTGAAAGTAACATTAGTGATTGGAGTACAAAAACTGTAAGATATAGTGGTATAACTTTAATGAAGATTTTTTTGCACTATTTGTTTAAAATTCAAATACTTTTAGATGAACATGGAGTGTACAATGTCGGTAATTATGGCATATTATAATAGCTGTCTAGCATTGTGGGAACCATTAATTGAACCAATAGAGAGGATCAGAAATGAAAAGCGGGTTTCTACACCTTGGGAACTAAAAGTTAAAGTAATGTATTTAAATTTTTTTAAATGGAAATGTTACATTTCTTAGAACTTATTTCATTGTTTTTATGTGTCTTTTTATTCATTTTGTATGTTAGATTCAATTTAATGATGTATCACCGGATTCTAGAGGCGCAAGTGCGGCCAGTCCTACATCAGATAGTGAAACAGAAGAATTACATCAGATTCCCAAAATGTCTATTGATATAATATCAACTGTAAGTTAGTAAACATTGATTTTTTTAGTGTATATTTCACGTAAAATCTTTATGACATTTTGCAATAGGAAAATTTGGAAATAACTGTGACTAAAACATGTCTCGATGTATTACAACAACTTGGTAATGCATTTTCATCTGCCATGGAAGCTAGCGGGAAAGGAGCGGCTAAAAGTGTAGCACCATATGTTCTTAAGAATGAAACTGGCTTAGCGATAGTTTTAGATTTGGAGCGCAGTCACTTCAAGGTTTATTGTCGTTGAATCTTTTATGTTCTTTTAATTATAAATATAATACTATGAACTATGTATATAAAATAAATATACATATCTTTTTTTAGGTTTTTAATGATGGATCCAAACTTACAAGTAATAACGCAGATTCGTATATGGAGGTAATTCTAGAATCTGGTGCGTCAGTACAGTTAGCTCCGAGGACAACAAAAACTGAGATACCACTGCTTGATCAATTGAAAATTGAAACAATCAAAGAAAAAGACGATGATAAGTTTATTATTTCGGTAATACTTTTAAAGTGTATAAATTTATGAGTTTATTGCATATAACTAAAATAATATCTAGTTAGTTAATATATAATATTTTTTAAAGTTTAAAGAAATTAATAGAACTTTGGCTGTACCTGTGTTAAGAGCTGATAAAAGATTCTTTTCACTGAAATATCGAAAGGATGGTTCTGAAGAATGGGGTATTGTTTCTGATGTTATAGTAGATGAAGGAAGTACTATTGTTACTCTTAGAAGTATTCTACAGGTAAATTGCATAAGTTCTTATTCCTAAGCTTTAGTAATAATTGCAAGTAATAATTTTTTAGGTACACAATCATTTTAGTCAACCAATATCTGTATATTATATGACTAAACGTGGAAATGAAGTTGAATGCGTGGGAACTGTTGCTCCAGATAGTAAATTAAATCTTCCACTAGACACTGTATATACACCAACAAATGTTTATGGGCTATTTTTCAGTGTTGAAGGGTACTTTATACTTTTATATAAATTTTGTATTTCTTACGCCCTTCTATAATACTTATTTAATTTTCCTGTTTAGATATATGGTTTCGCTAGAACAATTTATTTGGAAAGATTTACAAAAAACAGTTAGTATGACAAAGCTGTTAAAATGCGAGGCTCGAGTGAGGCAAGAAGCTGTAGAACCATTTTACATAAAGGTAACAAAATGAAACGCGTTTATTTATGTACACACTTAGAAAATTTTTATATTTGATTTCTATCTTTCAAAATTTCACACTGTGTAGTACGTGTAATACTATTATTCACGACGTTTCGATTATGTTTGATAGTCATATAATGAAACAGTACGTTTGATTTATTTTTATTTTCATATGCTGTAATCAAACAAAATTTCGTTAAAAAAGTTACACTACATGCTTTTATAAGCAGCAGTTTTTACTTTTAGATGTTTTTCATGATGATTGTGGTTGGTAGTATTTTATATAATAACAACACTATTGGCTTATTATTGAATGCTATTAACTGGCGATCCGTATTCTGTCGTTTCATTGATTGCGTCAAGCGTCTTTGCTTGAAAACTTTACCCTCAGAGCACAAAAAATATCTGGAAGCACCTATACAGGTACTACCGTCTTTTTCTAAACTAGTTTGAGAATCAGTTGCTACATAGTATACGTTGGGTATCAGCCAAATAAATATCTTTACTGCCGCTATTAGATAGTTAATAATTTTAATGTGGATGTATACCTGTAACAAATAATATTGTAGGATAAGTATAGTTATTATACTGATTATCGATAGAGAATCCCTATATGTTTGATTGAAAATGGTTATTGGCATGGTTTCTGTTATAATTGTTAATTGTGTCATATTAATAATATAATTACAACAAAACAAAAACAGAGAAATATGAACAAATTATTTTTATATTGAATTTAATTCTTTTTATTAAATTCAACAATTTTCAGTCATTAAATTATGAGAACAGATCTTTTATTTTATAGGACTTTTCTTTGTTTAATTTTCTTTGTAGGCACTGTTTTATTTTTTATTTCAATGCATTTCAGTAACAAGTTTTTACAATGTATTATGGTTAATTTTTTAATTTATTTATATTATGCTTAAAATGTTCGAATAGTTGTTGAAAATTTATGTTGGTATTCAGTATAATGTGTTCATTGCACGTTTTTTTTATGTTTTATTGGTAATATAAGACGGAGTGTATTGTTACTGTTATGCTTTAAACATTGAAAGTGTCTTTTATTACTTAGACAATAGTAGAGAGAATACTAGAATAACATAGTAGAGAAAAAATAATTCCAATATTTTAAAACAGAATTTATATATTTTGAGAATGTATTATAATACTTACAGGTTGTTGGTGAAATGGAACAAGTTTATTTTGAGACTACTAGTCGACATACTATAGCAAGTACAATCTATAATGTTCATTTATACCCAGCTGTATATTTGAAGAATTTTTTGCCTATCGATATTATTGTATGTTTACCTGGAAATGTGCAAGAAAAACTTTTAGAAGCTGGCACATCTTATCAGATTCCTACAATTGACCCAGGAAAGTCTTATATAATCATAAAAGTAAGTAAATCATATTTTTATACATTGTGACTCATATAACTTACTTAATTATATGTTACAGTTACCAAACTATTTAGAAAAAGATTGGTCATGTAGAGGTGAGATACTTGCGAATCCACCAGAATTTTCTGTATGGTCTTTTGAATCTTTTGATAGTGCACAAAAAGTTATAATGGATTTGGGAATGCATACATCATACAAACATGGTTCTATCATTATGGCTTTATATTGTCCATTTTGGATGTTAAATAAAACAGGCTTGATGTTGTCTTATCGGGTAAGTATCATGAAATTTATTCTAAACAATTAATTAAGTGACAATAATTTTATTTTCTGCTTCATGTAAATCTCGCTTATTATTTTTCCTTTAATAATTCTTTTTCCTTTTAATAAAAAAAGAAAAAAATTCTCCATTAAATAAAATACCATTAAGTATAAATACAAAAATTTTATTTATAATTTTATAGTATTGTAATAAAGTACTCTAATATATTAAACAATAATATGAATTTCTTTTTAGTAGTTGTATTAGGTATGTAATTAATCTCTATGCAATGCTTGAGTTATGATATTTTTGTGCCATATGTAAGTGCTATGCCACATTACGCATGCTGGAAGTAGTATTATGTTGCAAACTATTAATTTTCTATAACTATATCTTATTCAATACATTATTTTACAGAAATCAAGTAAGGGTGGCAAAGAACACTCAAGTCCAATCAAGGTAGTGATTTCATGTTACAGTATTTTTCATGCTTTGGACATAATGTTAATTAAATAATTCTTATAATATATTAATGGCTGCTATATTTTTCGGTGTGCAAAATTTATTTTAAAAGATCCTAGAGTATTCTCAATAAGTGCATCGTTAAATACAGCATACAAGTCTTTTAATTCTTTTTTCTGTTCAAGTCAAGTATATTTATTTAATGTAATAAAGCAGCAGCATGTCGCAGAATGTTGGAATAGCTTTTCAATATTAAACTTTTATTGTGACTTATATCAGTTGTAATGGTCATGGGTCGAATCATAAATATTAAAAGTAATCTTACAAAATTTTTGAAAAAATTAATTTCGTCATTGACAATTTCGCGAATTCTAATACATAGAAAGGTATCTTTCAGAATTTGGTTTGTGTGAAACCTCATCAATCACGTACAGAATACAAGAGGAAGAAAGCACGTTTGGTGATATATTGATTTCATTTTATATTGGTGATGGTTTAATCTTATAAACTGTAGAATAGACTTTTCATACTATCTAATATATTTAACTAACTACTTGTGTCCATATATTAATGTCTTACATGTTTGTACACATTATTATCAGCGCTTTTTTACTAACTATAATTTACTAACTAATATTAATGACATTTACATACATATACTCTTTCAAAATTAACAAAAAAGTGTACTAAGCTTCATTCATACTCAGCTTGTTTATTAGTTGGCATATTGTGGTACTATCATAATCTTGCAACATTACACATTTTTCCTAGCTATGAGTAAGGTGTTCCTGCTTATATACTCGTATATGTATTATTATGGCACGTACAAGGCATGATTGCTATGAGATTAAACACATAGATATAGTAATAATGCAACAATGTTGTGATAATGAAATAGTAATAATTTAATGCGACATTAATACAAGGAGTTTTTGTAAAATTTTTATGAAACCTTTAAATACAAAAAGAATTCATAACATACAAAAATTTATAAATTCAAGCTTTGTTTATTGAGATGTATAATTAAAATTATAAAAGAAAGCTAGCTGGTGTTGGTGAATGTAATGTAACATTGTATAAATATGTTCAAAAATGCAATTAATTGCATTTTTTGTGCACAGTTAAATTGTGTGCAGTCAAATTATTGAAACACAATTAACATTAGCACAAAAATTTATACATATAAATATTTTCAGAGTGGAGAAGATTATCTAAATGTGCTTTATCATCCAGAGAATTTCAAGGGACCAATATTGTTCTCATTTCGCTCCAAAGTATTCTTTGGTAAAAAGAAAGCAATGATCAGGGTCGAGAATGGTGAATGGTCAGATAAATTTCCAATAGATGTTGCAGGAAGTGAGGGAGTAGTCATTTGTAAATATAATGGCCAAATATATCAAGTTAGTAGTATTTTTCCTTATTTATAGTTCCATTATTTAATCACCATATTCTTATATCAGCAATATTTCTTATGAATTACAGATTGGAGTTCACAATCAATTGACTTATAATTCTTTGACAAAACAAATTACATTTACTCCATATTATGTACTGATAAATAACTCTGATTATCTCATTGAATGCCAAGAAGGTAATAGGCCAGCTGATCCTATGATCAAGGTAATAGTTATTTATAAAAGGAAGAATTATAATATATAATGTATATTATTAATTTTAATGTATCTAAATAAAAATATTTATTATTTCATTTACTTATAGGTACCTGCCAGAGAATGTGCAGCTTATTGGCCTCGTTCTGATCATGAACAGAAAACTCTAAGTGCTAGAATCGCAGGTAACCCTGAAAAAACTGCACCATTTATTTACACAGAGAACCATACGACTTTGTTAAAATTAAATAATAAGGTTTGTTCTGTTTTTATTTCTCTCCGAATGTAATGTAATTTATGTTTCTATAATTCCTTTTATTTAACAGTATGGAGGAATTAATGTAGATATACAAATAAGCGAAGGTGGAGTTTACATTTCTTTATCTGCATACACTCATGGAAATGCCCCAGCTTTAATTATTAATCACACTCCACATACAATCAATTTCTGGGAAAAAGGTTCACTAAATGTCAGGTACGAACATTAATGCAGAAGTTAATATTATTATTAATGTTATTATATTGTAAATTACTTTATAGATCTGTACAGTCATACAATAGAATGTTTTACACTTGGGAAAATCCTGCAGGTCCGCGGAAATTAGTTTGGGAAGACAACAATAAAAAAGAAATTGAAGAAACTCTTCGAAAAGTAAATATTCAATATTTAATAAAAATCATTAAAAATTAAAATTTTATTTATATTAAAAAGACATTAAAAATTTTATTTTTTAGGACACTTTAGGAGGTTTTCAATTGCCAGATCTAGAAGAAGAAGTATACTATGTATCATTTTTGGATGGTACACAACGAGTGCTTCTATTTACAACAAATATGAAAGTTGCAGAAGATTGTGAACTAGCAGGTGATTTTGAACCTATAGAACAGGAAATAACAATAAGTATTCACGGAGTTGGCTTCTCACTTGTTAACAACATCATGAGAACTGAATTGTTATATTTGTGTATAGCTAGGTACGTTCTTACACATATTAATTTTCATTATTTCCACAATTATCACAGTTTTCACATATTGGCAAATTTTATAATTTAGTTCTGGAATTATGTGGGAAACGCGCAAATCTGTTAACCATCGTTGGCGCAATCTTGATACAAGAGAGGTAATAGTTATAGAAGAAGGCTATCAAAAATATATACGTGAATTACAAATGGACAAAAGTCCAGTACAAAAAGTAATACTTGAACCAAAATTAGAGGTAATGTAAATGAAATTAATAATTTCATAATTTTTCATTCAACTTTCAATTTAATCACTAATTAATTTTAATTTTAGGTTGATTATTTAAATATGGAAATGTTAAAACCACATCGTCGTTGTCTACGACGCACTTTTCAAACTGGTTTATGGTTGCAATACCGTACTTCAGTGCATCAAGTGCAGTTACATGCAAAGATCAACAGACTGCAAATTGATAATCAACTTACAGACTGTGTTTTCCCAGTTATATTAGCTCCAGTCCCGCCACCAAAGAGTGTTACAGCAAGCACAGGTAAGTTTTTATATTAAAGATTAAAATAAGTGTTACATATGTGATTATATGTTTCTCAAATTATTTTTTAATAGTTATGAAACCATTCGCTGAACTTAGTATGGTTAAACGACTACTTGAACATAGTAATGTACAACAATTTCGGTACTTTAAGGTTCTTATACAAGAGTTTCATGTGAAAGTAGATATTGTATTTATTAACGCGATCGTGGGACTGTTTGAAGCAAATGAAATGAACGATGCAGAAGAAGTGAGTTCTATCTACTTTATATGCATAAAATATACAAATACTATACTATAATACTATAATAATTATTTTATTGTATACTTTAGAGTAAATTATTTAAATTGGACATGAAACTCGTTGATGAACCTCTGATGTATCACGTTAGTTTGATTACTACAGCCGAACAGAAGAATTTCTTTGATCTACTTCACTTTTCTCCCTTGAAGGTATGTTTCTTTACACTTCAAATTAATCATAACCATATTTCTATAAGTGACATCATCTTTTCCAGATTCATATAAGTTTCTCAATGAGCGGTAGTGGTAGCGGGCCATCTGCACTACCTCAAGTATTAAATGTATTGTTACAAGGAATAGGTGTTACGTTAACTGACATTAATGATATTGTCTTCAAGTAAACCTTCTCACCAATCAATTTTAAATTAAGTTACTAGGAAATAAATCATATGGGAATAATACATCTCAATTTTCTTTGCAGATTAGCATATTTCGAAAGAGAGTACATTTTTATGACCAATAAACAGCTTATTTCCGAAGCAACAACGCATTATGTAGGACAAGCAATTAAACAAGTTTACGTTCTTGTTCTGGGACTCGATGTAATAGGCAATCCGTATGGCCTAGTGGTAGGTACTATGAAGGGCATTGAAGATTTGTTTTATGAACCTTTCCAAGGTGCCATACAAGGGCCCGGAGAATTTGCAGAAGGTTTGCTTCTTGGTATGAGGAGTATGTTAGGTCACACTGTTGGAGGAATGGCTGGAGCTGTTTCTAAAATTACTGGAGCTATGGGTGTGTTTGGTTTCTGTATTATCAAATTAATTATTCTATATATTTTTCCAATTTCATTTTTGTTTTTATTATAGGTAAAGGTATAGCTGCCTTAACGTTTGACAAAGACTATCAGAGAAAACGACAAGAACAGCTTAACAAACAGCCAGCCAACTTGCAAGAAGGTCTTGCTCGTAGTGGAAAAGGTTTGATAATGGTAAGTGAAAATAAGGAATAAAAATTAATACAACTTTTATTGATAAATAGACAAAAACGAAAAGAGATGAATAATGATATATATGGCTTTTAGGGTGTTGTTGATGGTGTAACTGGTGTTGTGATGAAGCCCATATCGGGTGCCAAAGAAGAAGGTGTGGAAGGATTCTTTAAAGGATTTGGGAAAGGCATGGTTGGTCTTGTTACTCGACCAACTGCTGGAGTTATAGATTTCGCTAGTGGTTCATTTGGAGCAGTGAAACGGTAAAAAAGATAAACTGTGTCTATCAATCTAAATATCAATCTAAATATCAATCTAATTATCAAATATACTAAAAGGATAATTTAAATTATTTCATTATTCATTAATTATTTCAGAGCAACTGAGTTGAATGAAGAAGTAAAGAAAGTAAGACCATCTAGATTTTTACAACTAGACTGCTTGGTTAGACCATATGTCAGAGATGAAGCTGAGGGACATAAAATCTTATGTGTAAATATATAAGTATATATATATATAATCTTATGTAATATTTTGTAATATTTATGAATACTCTTCTTTTGCAGGAATTAGAAAAAGGAAAATATGCGAATACTGATATCTATTTTTATCACATGTACATTAACAAAGATGTATTATTGCTTACTGATAAGAGAATAGCATACTTAGAGCATAGTGATTTATTTGGTGGATGGCGGGTCAGTACATTTTATAAATATCCTATTTTCGTAAAGTGAGCAATAAATTAGTTTTGGATAAAGTAGACATTCTATTGTTTTCAATAATATAGGTGCATTGGACCCACGCGTGGCAAGAGATGAGCGAACAACCGAAAATAGTTGATAAGGGAGTACAGATATTTATCAAAGATTCCAGTAAGAAGAAGAAATTAGGATTATTTGGTAGTACAGATCAATCAAAAATAATTTTAATACCTGATTATAATATTAGACAGGTAAGTTGTCTAATTTAATATTAATATCTTTTTCATATTTAAAAAAAATAAATTTTTTGCAATTTTCACAGCTTCTATGCGATAAAATGCAACAACAAATTAATCAATACGAGTTGTAATACCAGAAAATCAAAATAGATAATACACGCAAATATAATTTAACATTTGAATATAGTTAACTGAATTGATAGCGTCTGGCTATCATCTAGCATCATAAATTTCTATTCGCTTTCGAAGCTGAATTTCATAAATTCTATATATACACATATGTATATTATAATACAGTTTTCTACAAATATTATTCATAAGACTGATACTTGATCAGAATCAACAAAAAGTAAAGAAGAATCAGTATGTATGTATAGTTTTATATTTATTACGCTTTGAATATTCTGGGTTTAAATTTATTATATTTTATACGATTTAACACTGTTTTTATCACAAAACGTGTTTCTAAACGCCAGTTTCTAATTCCATAAATTGTTATAATGTTAGTAAAAGCCACAAGATGCTTTTAATGCTTTTAATTAATCTATATAACCTTATCGACACGTTTTTTGATATTATACAAAATAATTATTATAGTCTTTATTATCGTTAAAAGTTCTTAATCACATTATCGTGTTATAATTTCGCTTCAAGGTATATTATGGTATGTAAAACAAAGTTGAAATACGCATGGAAATAGTTGAAAACCTAAACAAATATTTTTTATCTTATTAATTTGAAACATAATGTTTTTATAAGGTACAAGATATATTTTAAGCTCATACTTAAATACCTGATTAATTTTATGTAAAAAGTTATATATGCAAAAATCAATATAGAGACATGTCATAGTTTTATAGCACTTTAAAAAAAATAACTTGAATATTGATGCTTTATGTCTTAAGATATTTCTTGTTAATGTAATATACTTGATATTCTAAAAAATCGCCATCATATGACAATATAATATTTATTATCGCTTAATAATAAGTTTAATAATTATTTACTATATACACATACACGTATAAACAAAAATTCAAACGCACATCCTATGTTCAGTAACTTCTGTACCTGTATAACTATGTTGTTATTATATATATATAGACATACAGGATGTTTCTAAAGCCGCCGCATAATTTTCTAAAATATATACAAAAATATATTTCCGTTTTTAAAATGTATATTCTTAAAATTTTATATGCACGTAGAAGTCAACTACTTTTCATATAAAACATTAATGTTTATATCATTTTTTATTTGAATTATACTTCGTATGAAACTATTACTCGTTTAATCAATTATATGTTTAAATTCAAATCATTACATATTCTTAGAAACACTCTGTATGTTCATGGATAGTGCATAGCTTTTATTACAAGATTGTTCAGTTAAATGCATAGTGGAAGAAAATGAAAAAAAAGAAAAAGAAATCCAAAGTCAGTACACCATACCTTTTACAGCTTATGATAGTTATAAGATATGTATATGTTACTGTATAATTATGACTAAGTTTAACGTGATCTAATTAGATTATGTTATTGTTAAAGAAAGATATATCTGTATTGTTATATATTACTTGTATAAACAAACTGTATTCACAGGAAAATTAAAATAACTTTTGCTTTCTATTCTTTCCTTGTATCTTGATCACTACTACCAATGTTCAGTGTGCGTGATAAGTGTATGTGTATCTGTATATTTATATACTACACACTCCAAAAATTTATTTTGTTTGCATCATAGCACTCATTTGTTTATCTATGAATTAAAAGTTTGACATTTTATGTGTGTCTATTATTTTTCTTATCAATGTCCTGAAATTCTGCATCTAAATAAAATTGAAAGGTGAACAACTTTTTTATAAGTATAAATCTATACAAATTCAATTTTATTAAGATATATTTGTGTATTAACACATTTAGTATGTCCAGAAGAAGCGTGTTTGATATAGAAATGCATTTAGTTGGTATTTCAGATGTAGTATATAACTATTAATTTAAATATTTGATAGCACATTATCAAGACAATTATCTGATGGAAGAGAATCAAAAGGCTCAAAAATTTATGCCAGGTCCTCCACAACTTCCCCCTTTGTATAAAGGGCAGAAGATAAAAACAGTAAGTAACAAAAATTACATACATTCGTACATCTATTTATTTATTAATGATGTGATTTTCATTAGGGACCATACACTACTACAGTTACAGATGAAATGGTAGCACAAAGGGAAAGGGAGAACGAACAATTATATAGAGCTTGGCGTGAACAACAACGAAGAAGAGCAATGGCGCCAGATGATGATGATTCAGAATATATGGGCGACTTTAAAGATGACACAGTGAGAAGAAGTTTTATTAGAAAAATTTTCTGTATATTAACAATTCAATTACTATTTACCTCTGGCATCATTGCAGTCTTTTTGTTTGTGTAAGCATTATGATTTAGCAATGTTTTAATAATATTTCCTTTATGGATTAAAGCTATGAATTGTGTTTATTTTAACAACTCTATTCCAGGGATGCTGCTAGAAAATTTATGATAATTCATTGGTATATGTGGATTATAGCTATGTACGTAAATAGTGCAACTATATTGCAACTATTTTAGATATATTATTTAGTAAATAATAAATAATTTTATTAGGATATGCTTCACCATTTCTTTTTGCACTATATCTATATCTGAAAGAGCTAGACGCAATCCACCTTTCAATTATATATGGCTAACTAAATTGGTAAGGTTCTTAGCCATACTGAAACCTTATTAATTGAATGCCTTTCATGCAATTTAACATTCAGTACTAAAAAATTATTATTTACAGACACTTTCTATGTCATATTTAGCTGCTTTTGTATCAGTCTTTTTAGAAGTTGAAGTAATATTGATGGCATTAGGTATGACAACTTTAATTACATTAGGAATAGGTCTTATCGCAACATTTTCTAAGGTATTTAACTATAAAACTTGTATGACATAAAATAACAGAAAATATCATAAATAATAATTATAAAACAAATAATAATTATAAATAATGTAAATAATGTTACAGTTTGATTTGACAATGAGAACAGGACTGTTGATGATCTTTGGACTGGCTTCTATTGTTTCAATTTTTGTGATAATGATAGTTCTGCTATTTACATATATAAGAGTATTACATATAATAATCTCAGTTATAGGAATGATTTTATTATCAATGGTTAATATAGAATTAATATATATATTGAAAATATTATTTAATTTCAACATAATATATCATATTCTAAGAAAAGATATTTCAAACATAAAAGGTCATTATTATATGTTTTCTAGTACTTGTATTTTGATGTGCAAACAATTATGGGTGGAAGAAGAATAGAATTAAGTCCGGATGAAGTTGTATTTGCAACGGCACAAATTTATGTTGACATAGTACTGTTATACCAATATGTGTTATTGTTTATGGGTATGATGTATCATCGATAAATATTAAGGATAAATTTACATTATGTCATTAAGAATAACCTATTCTTATTATAGCAGTAATATTTTAGATACAGATTTGAATATCAATAAATAAATGTATGTGAGATATTACACAATAGAATTGAAAACTATTTTCTTTTTTATGACTTATCTATATGTGTTTTATTGCTATTGAGATTATTAACTTACACAGTGTCAATAATCATTTGCTATAAAGCTATAATTATATAAAATTCATAAATGAAAGATTCTGAAACGCTACTGTCCCTTAAAATAGCATCTTTCTGTCAAGTTTGTTGCTAAGCAACTGTTTGACAACAAAAACTTAACCTATTGCATGTTCAAAACTTCAATTAAAGAATACATATTTTGTAGATTTAAATGAATGTGTAAGTATATAATTAGTTGAAATTTTTAAAAGATGTATTATTATTAGTATCTTATATGTAATAAATGGTATGAGTTACGTGACCAAGTTATCGTCACTTATGTCATTACAAATCAAACGAAATAAATTTGCAAGGTTGTTTTATGCAGTGCATCATAATGAAAACCGAGGTCTTTTCTACGTAAAATTGGATGACAATTGTAAGAAATATTTCATCCGAAAAATTATTATTTTAATAAATTTCTAATATTATTCATGGCCTAAGAATTGAGGGGAAAATATGGAACAAATATGATTTTCATATTGTTAATGTGAATAGTATTTTAAAATATATTTCTTTTTTTCATTTTTTGACCAGCAAGGGCAGTATTACAATACAAAGCTGAGAGGAAGGTTTTAGACATGCAAGTGATTAGTGTACCCTATAGATATACAGGAAGAGGTTTAGCTCGTTTGCTTACAGAGGTAAAATTTATTTTCAAATTTCTTGTAACTTCAAATGAATGTTTATTGTTATAAATTATGTTATATTAATGTCTATATTTGTAGACTGCATTTACATATGTTATTGTGAATTATTTATATATGTACTTGACATGTGAGTACATGCAGAAGTATTATCTTGCAATTAAGAATCCAGCTCTTGAAGAATATATTGTTGGACCACCGCATATTTTAGAAGGACCTGATTCAGAACCTTTAGACCCTGACATTATATATGAATTACCTGATCCAGAAGATTTTTTGATATATTCTTCTTAATACAATATTACAATACATACACTAATTGCTGCAATTACAATAATTGCTGCAATTTTGAATAATTATTGAATTAAGCTATTACTTAATGATTTAAAATTTATTATTGTTCCTTATTTCACTGGTAAAATGGAGGAAATAGAGTATATTACTATAATTGAATGGTTTTGTCATCAATTTTACTACAATGGCATGTTAGTTTATTGCAAAGAAGCATGCGAAGTGTATCCAGCAAACGAATATCTAAGAATTCTTTTAAGTCTTGCATACATATTAACTGGAAAAGAACAAGAAGCAATCAAAGAATGTTCAAACTTAATGAACAATGCAGATACCACATTGACAGCATTGCTTCTTCAGAATATTGCATATATGAAAACTGAAAATGTTGAAAAGGTCACTATAATACAAATCGAAACAAGAATTAGAGACGAGAAACGAAAATCGTCTTCAAACGCATTAGCTTTAGCAGCCTTAGTGTTGCTTTTATCTCAGAAAGCTGACAAAGCTAGAGATTATGTAGAAAGGGCTTACAAGCTTGATTCATCCAATAAAAATGTGTTATTAACAAAAGCTTGGGTGGATTTATTTATTGCAAACGAAAATGATTCAAGTGAGCCAAACTTGTTTGAAGTTGTTTTAGTACAAGATTCAAAGAATATAAATGCTTTGCTTGGCTCTGCAAAATACAAACAACAGCAAGGTGACTATACAGGAGCAATATCAACATTGAATTCTTTAATTGTACGATATCCTAAATTATGTCTACCCTTGGTAGAAAAATTGTGCAATCAACTCGCATTGAAAGATTGGGACCAAGTTCTGGAGACCGCTAATAGAATAATGTCAATCGACTCGAATAATTTGGATGCAAGAAAAGCACATGCATTTGTACATCTTTGTAGGGATGGAAATTATAATGAAGGATTAAAACATTTACAGTCATTCTTCAGAAATATGATAATTATAGAAACAAAGAACGTCACAGTTTTGGTGAACAATATTCAATTATTTTCACGATTAGCTTGCAAACATCAAGGGATTTTATTGGAGGTTTCTAGGACCATTGAAAAGGCATTACAACAGAATCCAAAAAGTGCAGATCTCATGGTGGAATTAGGAAACTTGTATGTTTCACTGGGTAAAGTGAAAGATGCAGAAAATTGGTATAGAAGTGCTGTTCGAATAAACGAATCATCGTTTGCTGCTTTGATGGGACTAGCCCATTGTCAGCTTTTAGATACTTCGATTGATGCTTTGGGCTTGGCACAGCAGCAAGTAGATTTTTTGATGGAGATACAGTCTAATTCAGTGGATGCAGAATTGCTTTTTATGTCTGCCAAATTGAGCTCCAATGATTCCATTAAAGTCCTGAATTATTTGAACAATGCAGCTACGATCATACTGGACAACTGTAAATATGTACCATATGGTTATGATTATATGAAAAAATTAAATCCCGATTTATGTTTAGAAATTTCCAAACAACGTTTAGTTTATTCTGTAACAAGTGATGTAACAAATTCTGAGGAAAATGTATCCAATTACAAAGAGCCAAGTTTGTATTTGTTAGAGCAATTATCAGAAGCATATCCTGGTTTGAGTATTTCACAGTTACTACTGAGTAAAGCTAAAATGCAAAGTGGAAATTTAGAAGAATCTTCATACATACTAAGAAATCTTTTAGATAATGTGGATTCAACCAACGCAGAAGCGCATTTACTAATGGCGCAGATTCTAGCTCGTCAAGGGAATTACCAGTCAGCTTCACAAAGTCTTGAAGTTGGTTTAAGTTACAATTTCAAGATCAGAGACAATCCGATTTATCACTTAATTACTGGCATGGTTCAAAAAGAAACAAATGATATAGAGGGCTCAATAACAAGTTTTCAGTCAGCTATGTCATTAACTAAGATGCAATCACATAAAAATACTGCAGAAGCTTCAGATATTTCAACATCAGATATGGCAACTTTGTACCTGGAACTAATTTCTGCTTATGGAAAAATGAGACATTTCAATGAGGCAATTGACATAATACAAGATGCAAATATAAAACTTGGGAACACTTCAGAGAAAGGTAGAATATTAATAGGAAACGCAGAGTTACTTTTAGAAATGGGAGAGTTGGATGAAGCCATTGATTGCTTGTCAAAAGTAACGTCAGACCAACTTTATTATTTGCAAGCACATACGCGTTTAGCCGAGATAAATTTGAAACACAAAAAAGATCGACTCGCTTTTGCTACGTGTTTCAGGTTTGTTTTTCATAAATTTCTACATTTCGTTATATTTTTTTCAATCTGTTGAAATATTTTATTTTGTAGAGAATTGGTTGAACATTGTCCTGGCCCTAAGACATATAGTATGCTTGGTGATGCATATATCTCTATACAAGAACCGGAGAGAGCAATAGAAGCATATGAGCATGCTTTGAAACAGAATCCTACAAATAAAGTACATATAGCAAGTAAGCTAGGAAAGGCACTTATAAAGACGCATCAGTACACAAAAGCCATAAATTATTACAGAGATGTGATGAAACAAGAGAACTTTAAAAGCTTGAAATTAGATCTTGCAAAGTTGTTCATAAAGTTGAAACAGTATGATAAAGCAGAAGCTACATTGGTTCAAGAATTACAAGGTAGAAATTATTTTAGCTGCATAATTTTATTCTTCTACTTTAATTTTAATTATTTTAATGACTTTTGATATTTCAGACGGTCGACGAGATTCTGATTTAAAGAGCTTAGAAGTGCGTAGTCAGCTTTTGCTGTTGCTTGCTAAAACACGAGAAAAAGCAGATAATATTAATGGTGCTTTGTCAGCATTGAAGGAAGCCAAGGAAAATCAACATAGATACATTCAACGTATGGGAGGTTCTAACTTGGAAGAGGAAAAACAACTTCTTGCAAATATCTGTTTAACAATGGCTGATCATTCCTCTTCTCTAAGAGATTATGATCAAGCTATTACGTACTATAAAGAAGCACTGAATCATAAGCCTGCGGATGTAAATGCTTTGTTATCCTTAGCAAAACTTTATATGCAGGTAAGTCGCAAATAAAATGACAATAATTGCAATTTACAGTATCATTTAGGAAATTGTTAATAATTGTATACTGTAAAATAACAGACAAATAATTTGGATCGATGTGCTCAAAGCTGTACAGCTTTATTGAATGCGGATCCCAACAATGAAGCTGCTTCCATAATGATGGCAGATCTTGCATTTAGAAAAGTTGATTTTGACACAGCAGCATTTCACTTTCGACAACTATTGCTGAAGCAGCCAACTTACTGGACCGCTTTAGCGAGATTGATAGAAGTTTCTCGTCGAACAGGTAAATTTTATTTAAAAATTTAAATTTTGAAATTTATAATTCTCTAATGCAAGACTTATTTATGATGTAACAAATTTAGGTGATATGGACGACCTTGAAGAATGGCTTCATCGAGCAGAACTAGGAATGAGTGGTGCAAATTTAACACCTGGCTATTATTATTGCGCGGGTTTATTGGATTGGCGTATGGGTCGATTAAACTCCGCGCTTCGTCAGTTCAATTTCGCCAGACGTGATCCTGAGTGGGGTCAACAGGCAATATACAATATGATCGAGATTTGTTTAGATCCGGATGATGATTCTTCCCTCTCTAATGAAATCTTTAACGACGATGATGCTGAATATCAAGACTCTAGAACGATGGCTTTGAAAACAGCCTATCGTTTGCTACAGGTACTCAAAAAAGAGCAAAAAGAACATAGTAAATTTATGATTTAAAATTTTTAATAAAATAGTGTATTATAAGATTTGAGTTTTAAAAACATTACTTTATTATTACAGGAATTAAATCCTAAAGGTAGTCCACATGAAATGTTGACGCACAGATTGTTAAGCAATTTCTTTCTGCTTGCTACAAAGCAAAAATCCAATGTGGAAAAAGCATTGCATGATTGTACTGCATTAGCTAGTCAAGAAACATTGAGAGATCACGTAGGACCAGCTTTAGGCATGGCTATGGCCCACATTCTTTTGAAACAAACTCCTAGAGCTCGAAACCATCTAAAACGTGTCAGCAAAAACACATGGACCTTTGAGGATGCAGAATACCTGGAACGTTGTTGGTTACTTTTAGCAGATATTTATGTTCAATCCAACAAATATGAATTGGCAAATGATCTTTTAAGACGTGTTTTACAACATAATGCCACTTGTGTTAGAGCTCATGAATTGTCTGCATATATTGCAGAAAAAGAGCAAAATTATCGCGAAGCTGCATCACAGTATAGCGAAGCATGGAAGTATGGTGGAAAATCGAAATTGTCTGTGGCTTATAAATTAGCTTATTGCTCAATGAAAGCGAAAGCTTATGCAGACGGGATAGAAGCTTGTAATGAAGTTTTGAAACAGAGTCCTGATTATCCACGCATCAAGAAGGAGATTTTGGAAAAATGTATTAATAACTTACGTACTTAATAAACAATTATGTTTTCATTGTAATTATATCTTTATTTATATATTTAGAAACCTTCTTTTTTCTCCATTTCTTGCGAATTAAAACAAAATAATACTATGATTTATGTCGATATTCGTTTGGTAAATAATTAAATAGAGAATATAAACTTGCAATAAAATGTTGAATGAAAAATTACATTTAGAAAAGAATGATCATATACTTAGAAATTATTTTCGACGTAAAGAGAATGTTTTAAAAGTAGTAGTTACAGATGGTACAACAGATCTTGCACGTGCATTTTTGTATAGAATGTTGAATGATAATGTATTTGGTGAAAATCAATCTGTCTTTGTCAGCCTTTATGAATTACCGAACAAGACGACCTTCTTGGAAAGTGTTGCAATTGAACTCACTTCCTTTAGCCCCAAAGTTTTAAATGGTAAATACCCATGCAGTAATAAAAAGATGGTTTATTTTTGTTTAATATTATTCAGTGCATTATGTTAAGTTAAATAACAACATAATCAATTACTAAGATATTTTAATATCAATAGGCATCAGTTATGGTCATGATGCTTCCATTGAATTTAAGGATGCAGATGTTGTAATTTGTATTGGTTATGCAAGAGAGTACGACTTTAAGGACAATGAATACCTTGAACCATTTTTTGAAGAATATGTTCTGACTTCCAAGTTTTATGTATATTAATTATTCCTATCTTGTTCAGATATAATATTAACATTTCCAGTATTTATAAATCTTATACCATCTGTAGGGTGAAGTTATAGAAAAGTATGTAAAAAGGGATGCAAGAATTATTGTACTAGGAACTACTGCTGCCACAATCATATCCAAATATGTGAAATCTATTCCTATCAAGAATATAACTACATTATCTTTGCTTAATTTAAATATTGCTGCAGGTCAGGTACTTCTGGTGTTTCTTATATGTGTTTGATATTTAAATAATTTAATTTATTAATGATTTCAATTTATTTTTAAACAAACGGTTTTTTCTTCAAATTTCAGATTGCTGCACGAGCGCAGTGTCTTCCAACAGAAGTAAAGAATATAATAATCTGGGGTTCGAATGGCTCATATAGTTATCCCGATTGCAGATATATGTACTTCACCCATGGAAAACCTTTGGCTGATGTTTTGAAAGTTTGGATTACTGACGTTCTTCCACAAGTAAGACCTTCGACCTTTTGATATATGAAAATAAGATATTTAATATTAAAAATTGTAATTAAAAAATCAAAATTATTAAACCATATACGTATATATTTCTTTTTTTAAATATTGCCCATTCAGGATACATAAAGGTTTCTTAATTTGACCTTTACCGCTTACATTTATTAAATTCTATATACAAATGTGAAAATGTGTATTCATTGTATTTGGAACTTTGTTGTAATCTTTCATTCAAGTTTCAAATTTTCCGAATGTGAATCTTGTATGGAGTTATAAATTGGAATAGTTGCATTAAATGGTTGTAAGATGATGCGAAGTGATGTAGTATAGTCATTATTTTCGTGAAAATGAAATAGAATTAAATATTCGATATTAATTAAGATATTTTCCTCCTTTTTTTAGACTATTCGAAATGTTGTTCACAGACCAAGCCTCATTAATTCCATAGCTTATGCGTTGGCAGAACACTGTAAAATCTTATGGAATGGCACTCCAGAGAATGAATGGACCTCTATGGGTGTTATGTCTGATTATTCTTATTCGATTCGATCTGGAATATTTTTCTCTTATCCCGTAATTTGTAAGAACAGGCAGTATGAAATAGTACAGGTATGACAATTGTTAGTTGGATCTACAAGTAAATTCATTTGTGATGGTTCATTAAGTTAATTTCGTGTTCAGTCGTAAATGTGATTCTTTTTGATTAATTAATTTGTGGAGAACTAAAAGATTATTATTTTAAAGATTATGTTCTATTCACTCCTTTTATCTCCCCTCATATATCAAAAATTTTTATATGAATAATAAAGAAATGTAAAATATAGAAACATAAAAATATTAAAAAATGAAAATATAATTTTTTTGTGTAATTTTACAGGATTTTGATATGGATCGGTACGTTCTGCGGTACATTGTGGATCTAAGTAGGTTGATTTTTAGGGAAATCGAGATTGCCTATAAAATTTGTGGTTTAATATCAATTGATCCTAAATAAGGTATATCCTTCATTCGTATATAGATTATGCTACATATTTTATTACGTTTTTACAAGTTACATTTATTTACAAGTATCTTTAAATTATATAGAATCGTAATTGTACGATGTATCGTAGATACACGGAGCCACTATTTGTGCATCGTTATCGTTATTATATCGTTATTACATTTCCTAATCACAAGTTTTCATAGATCTTTCCAAATCATTGAAATTCTCTTTCGTTATGTAAATAATGCTAATAACAATAAATGTAGAAATGTTAATACAGCAGATATTTATATAGAGAGAATCACACAATATGTATACATCACTTTAGCAACAATTATTATTTTGAACAGTTTTTACGACAGCACTATTCTTCTTATACTTGGTGGTAAAAATAAAAATAATCAACGTCGCCAAATGTGTAGTCTACTTCAAAAGTATCAGAGTAATAAAATCTCTTCAGCATTAATATATATATATATGATATATACTATAATTTAGTATTAATTTGAAGAATAAAAATAATTCAAATATTTCAGTGTCACTAAAAAGAAAAGGAAAAAGAGAAGGAAAAATAGATCAGTTTGACGACAGTCTAATTTTTTCAAAAGTGATTTTAGAAGAGATTTGTTAATTAAATATAAAAATAAGACACTTCTCTTTAAATTTCAATAACTTAAATTCTAAATTTAAATTAGTTTCCATTAATAATAATAAATCATAATATATAATATGATAATTCCTCCAGGGCTATTATTTCGAATTAGTCAAATATAAAATCCATTCTTTAAATAATAAATTACAAAAATAAAAATAATTAACGTCTGTTTAACAAAGGAACTTCAAAGATCCAGATACATAATCTGTGTTGCAGAAATGGCTCCGCAGGCGGCGAGGGTACTAGCCACGCATACAACGGCTGTAGTGGTCCCAGATTTACTGACGATCGTTCCTAGGCAGCAGGACAGAAGGAACTGCGCCAGAAACACCATAGAGGAGACGATTGCGACGTCTGTGCCAAGACCACGCACTCCCCCGCTTTGAACGGCTTCACCCTCGGCTGTCACCTCGAACTACAAAGTCGACTAATTCAATTTCTCCTTGATATATACGTCTGTTACATTACTACGTTACGTTATTTAATGGCATTATACTTCCCCTCCATTGAGTTTTATTAAATTATTCTTGTTATTTATAAAATAATTCTAATAATATAAAAATTGGATATATTATATGGTACGTGTTATTAAACTTTGGAAATTATTAAGATTTATTGAAATTCTGAATGTTATTTGTTAAGAGAAAACATGGTTTGTTTTAAATTATATGTATTTTTTCATAATTAAAGAACATTCTGGTCCTGATCCAATCTAAGATAAAATTGCGAATTGAACAAATTTTTATTTTTTAATCACGACATTGTTAGTCGAATGATTTAAATTTTTTGATCGATTCCTTTGGGATTACTCTTTCAAGATACAGGATACCACTTACTGTTGATGAAGCATGATAATGTGCAACTAGAAGATACGGCATAGTGAATAATGTGGAGTACATAACACCTGCGGTCCAAGAGAATATGATCACTCCCGCGGGATGTTTCGTCAACGCCATCATCATCATACCAGTGCTATAGAACAGCAGGCCGCAAATGTATACCCTTCGGGCTCTGTTAAATCACATGATACATTTACTTTTACCAGAAAAACGATTCTTTTTTATTACAGTCCTTTGTTTAAAAAAATCTGAAGGACTTAAATAAAAGACGAACTAGAAAACTAATTTTTGAATATATAATATTGATATGAAGAATTATTTTGATGAAAAAGAATCTAAATAGAAAATAAAATGAAACTTAAACTTCAAGTGAAACTATACTATCATTAATTAAGAATTATTCTGTCAAATAAAAATTACTTCTTTAAAAAAAAGAAGATATTTACTTGTAGCGTTCTATGAGCTTCTCGATAATCATTGAATAACAGGAACAGGATAATGAATACATAGACATTCCCCAACATCCAAAGCGAACTCCACTTTCGTATAATTCTCTTTCCTTGCTACCTTCTGGAGCCTATAATTTGCACAAATAATACATTAAATTATACAAATATAAAAATTCAATTATATACATTATGCAAACGTATAATTTTTAAAACTAAGTAATAAAAGTATAATAATTGATTAATGAATAAATACCTGTGGGTTTCCCCCATAAACAGCTTCCCCAACGAAATCAGTGAAGTACAGGGAATAACATACATGTGCCATCCAACAAAATAAATTAGTTAGACACACCATACGAAGACTATGTGGCATATATACGATAGAAAGAAGATATTCCCTTAATGTGGCTTTTGGATTTCCTTCGATACTTTCATCGAAACCATGTTCAACGTAATTTGTGTCTTGGATGGGTATATCTGGTATCATAGGAACTTGACCAACTCTTTTCTCTGGTTCTTGAACTGGAAGAGGTTTCAGAGCAAACTCCTATGAAAAAGAGAAAAAAGATACAATTACCTTATTTATCATTACCACTTTATTTTTGATTTATAGTCTGTGGAACAAATATATCGACTTACATCCTTTTTCGTAGCAATCTCTTGATCATTGCCCAAGGTGCCATAAGAAGCACAATCATCTGTGATGATTTTTTCATGTTCCTTTGGCTGATCCTCCGATTCTTCAGCAGATGCCTGAATTAATTTCGAGAATAAAAAAAAAATCTTAAAAAATGCAGGAAAACTATCCAAACTAATTCTTTATTTCTAAAGCAATATAAATTAATCGTTATTAATGTTAGTAGTAGTATATTTATTAATATTATTCTTAATAATTAATTAATACTAAACGAACCTTTTGTTCCTGTAACTGATGATATTCGTCACTTTCCAACAATTCCAATGGGATTTCTTTGAAGCTGGTAATGGTACAGGATACACAAATAACAAAAATAATCGTAATTAAAGTGAAAGTAGCATGAAGATGTCCACCTAACATAACTCCTATCGTAGTAGCATCCCAATTAATTCCACCTAGTCCGTATCCCATGAATCCTCCCAAGCCTGCCATTATGGTGAACGTACTTAAACCTTTAGCATGGTCATCTGTGAAAAGAAAAATTTGCAATAACGATTATGGGATCATAAGCAATTCTTGCAACCATCGCATTAAATTATATTAATTTTATTTCAATTTTAGTTTAAAACACAAATATAAAATATTTTATTCAGAATAAAAGTTTTTTTTTATTCAAGATAAGTAGCTAAATAATAATTAATATATGTAAATCAAGTATTTTATGGCCTCCTAATGGCTGGAATTACAATAAATATCTATCTAGTAATTAATATAAATTGTATGATGAATAATTAAACAATAATAAATATTAGTTAGTATGTAGATAATTAAATAATATTATAAATAACAACTTTAATTACTTGCCAGGTACAGTGACGTCGAGTAAATATGCTCTGGCTGGACTTTGGCAGGCATCAGCATCGAAATCGAGCAGAACTGTGCCTAGGATAGTGAAGAAAATTCCCCAAGAGTGAGACGGAGGTTTCACTGACTCTTCTTTCGCATGTTTCGCCGTAGTTCGATGTCCTAAGGGAACTGTATAGTTGGTCCACGTAGGTGGAACATCCCCAAAGGCATATCCCATATCTTCCCCATTTGGAACTAATATTAATCCTTGAAAATTAAGTAGAAAGTAATCATAAAATAAGTCATTTTTAATAATCGCGTAAGCATACAAAACTTACTTCATTTATTTTATTGGCTATTTCACAAATAAATATCATAATGAATACTGTACTTTGCCATTTACAAATATTTTACATATATTGTAATTACTATTTTCATTCTGCGCATTGTTCCAGTTTTCAATTTTCTATAAACGATTATCATAAATTACACAAAAACGTTTTACCTATCAAAACTCCAAGAGCCAGCAATAGAATGAACGGTCTTCTTCTTCCATATTTTAGTCTGCATCTATCACTTAGACTTCCCAAAATCGGTGTGACGAAGAAACCAATGAGAGGGCTGAGTGCCCAGACGAGGGTCATATGCTGATGATCTACGCCGATTTTTAATAAAGTCGGTGAAACAAACGCTGTTTCTGCGGCGTAAGAAAATTCGATTCCCATCACAGCTGCGGATATTCGTACCAATTCTCCTCGTGTCTTTTTTCTACAAGATATTTATACGTTGCTATGGCCTATGTTATTTTAGATTTGTCCTTTTTTATTGAACTTTAATATATTACATCATATTATAAGCCGAGAAACTGATTTTTTTCAGAAAATGAATTCTCTAGAGGTGAAAGTATAAACTAAAATATATCCTTTGTATTTTTCTATCGTTTAAAGTTAATTATTTTCAGGACCTTCGCGCGAATAATTGAACAAATACCTGTAAATATGCGCGTAATCATTCAAACTTCTCTCCAATTTGGGTGGTCCTCGTAGATGATTCAAGAACCCTTTAATCCCCTGGTCCATCGGTATCCCATTCTTCCACTCTTTCCACGTCTCCCATTTTTCTTTAAACTTGTCTCTAACATCGTGCACCCTGCCAGCGAAACCCTCGTATTCGTGCAATTTATCCACCATGACTCACGATTTAAACTTTTTCTCTCTTTCTCAGCTAAATGTTCTATCTCTCATTGTGTCACAGAAAATTCAACGAAACACCAAAACTAATCGTCACTTCGTTAAAATTCTCCATCAACCGTTATGAATAAATTACGGGTAAACATCGATCAGACAAAGTAATATCCTTCATATTTCTACTATTCCTTCTTTTGCTCCGAAAAAAATATGGAGAAAAGGATTAAATCAAGAAACAATATTCTTTTTATTCTTATCACTTTCCTTTAAATAAACGAAAATATTAAACAAGAATACAAAGAAAACGATAATCGAATTGATTTTACAGAAAGATCAATCTTTACGAATGAACATCGTACAAAATAATATACTCCTTCTCGATTCTTCTCCTTCTTCTTCGAAAAAGAAAAATAGCCAGTTTAATTAAACAGAAATTAGCGTGAGAATTAGATTGAAAACGATCATTTTCGTAGATTCATCGCGTTCGATAAAAATAGAATAAAATTTCACGAGAAAGAAACGACGCGAAGGGATGTTTCCCGTAGAGGGTTGGGGGATGTGTTTCGTCGACGAGACGCGAGAAACGACTGGTGGTTCCGCAAGCTCGCGACTAAGACGAAAGCTCGACCGACGTCGCCTTTCACCGTGGATACCTAGTTACATACCTAGTCCCTCCATTCGTGTTCCGGTAGGACGTAAAATGAGCTTCCCGTGTACCAAGGGAAACCTACTTATCAGCCAGCTGCTTGTTACTCTTGATTAAAATCGGTTCGGTCGTTTGTTCGTGATTTACCTTTGGAAAAATGTGAAACAATTTTTTGTTCAGTAAAAGTATGTACACATATAAAATATACAAAAATATACACATAGCACTGAAAAGTATCTGGATGGTATAAAATTAAAAAAGAAACTTATAAGAAAAAGAATTAAAAAAGAAACTTTATAGAATAATCATAAGAGGATGTCATAATATTTTTCTGTGCATCGTTCCTTTTGTGGTTCTTCTAAGAATAACAACCTTATACTTATTGATAGTATAACAACATCATACTTAACAATGATCATAGTAGAGAAGGTTTCTTTTGTGACTCTTCTAAGAATAACAGCCTTATACTTAACAATGACCATAAGAGGAAAAGTTTCTTTTTTAAATATCTTTTTGCACATCGTTTCCTCATTCCATTTATGGCTTTTTTTTACGAATAACAACCTCATACTTAACAATGACCATAGGAGAAAAGGTTCCTTTTGTGACTCTTCAAAGAATAACAGCCTTATACTTAACGATGACCATAAGAGGAAAAGTTTCTCTTCTAAGTAATATTTTTTTTTTGCATATCGTTTCGAGAAGAAAGAAAAAAATTAGAATGGCAGAAATCGTCATTCAGTATCCTATAAAGATTATATGTGTCTGACATAAATAATCAAATATCGAATCAGCTGCTCCTCTTTCTGTGTCCCTGTGAAACATTTGCTCTATTCTCGTAACACACAGCTATATCATGGTTTACGCGTGTACACACGGACAGGTTTTCAACAATGCTTTCCATCGTTGGTCGTAGATGTAATTTCCGCCGCGGAAATTGCACTTTGTCCATTCTCTCCTTTCCACCAGGATTTTCGATTCGATTTACCACCGAAAGATGTTCTACATATATTCTATACATTTAGATACAATTTGATAGATGCTGTATGCTTTATCTTCTCTAGAGAAGAATATTTATTTTCACTTGATTTGTTATATCGCATATTGAATTCTAGGAGAGTATTTCTAATTCCCTGTATTTTTCGTTTCTTGTCTTACTGTATTACCGCACATTTGCAATTTACTTACATTTATTTACATTATTATATTATATTTTTATTTTTTTTTCCTTTTTTTTCAGGAAACATATAACACATTGGCAAACATATCGAGCTATCGTATTAGTCGACAAGGAAGTCCTACAAAGTAGGTCTTGTTGCGTATGTGGCCTTGGCACGAGCTTCGCCTTTGTCAGAGCTTACGATAGCAATACGCATCGATAATACGTTCATCGGTTGAACGTTTCACTCTTTTCCTCGATGGACTTCCGATGAAGTCGTTGCATTGTAGCCACAATGGACAACATCGATTTCAGCCTTTCGTTTCTTGCCTGTATGCGTTTATTTTCTAAGAAAATTATTTAATCATGGAAAACGAAAGAGAGAGGAGCAACGGTATACTTGGCGTTAAAAATAACAAAAAGAAATATCACTTGTTTCAATTTTTGAATGCATAATTCCTTCAAATGCAATAGGCTATTTTCAAATTGCAAGTACGAAAGATGTTTCAATATAATTTCTTTATTCTAGCGTTACACACGTAAAAATACTTTCTCGCGCAATGGAAACTATGTATGCAATCGTAATTTGAATTAATTAGAGACTGACAAAGTTTCATCAACTATTCTTTATCGTATACTATCCTTTCGTTCCTCTAAAGGTTTTAGTACGAACGTATTGTTAGTTAGCCTTGCACGAGTCAATGGCAATCTGATTTGTTAATGATTTAACATTCCCTTGATTGAAGGCACACGCAAATGCCGTCTTATTTCTTAACGACGTGCCTCGCTCGCAAGAACCAATCTGCGTTGTGTAATCAGGCTTAAGCTTCATCTGAAACGGAATGACACACGGAAATTAACATTTCTTCAGGATTAGATATTATCCTATCCCAATCGCGTAATTTTTCTTCTTTCCGATGCACTCAAAATTAAGCAAGAAAGTTACGTAATTAATTGTCGAGAAAATTACGTTAAAAGGAAATAATTAAACTAATGTATCAAGAGTAACATTACAGATTTGAGTTGATATAAAAGGAGAGGTCGAACGTATGGTCATATAGAATTTATTATAAAATATTTTGAAGATAATTGGTAGTTTCCCACTTTTCTTAATCGTATTTTTATCATCTTCGAAGAATCTTTTCGAAAGACTGTTAATAAAGATGAAACATCTTTTTCGATCCGATTATTTTATTAAATCTTATCAAGTTCTCGGTTCGTTCTTGTAAGACCGCGATAACGATGAAAAGCAGGATTTTCTTACACTCTTGTATGTGCGCAGGTATAAGATTTAGGGAAGAATAATTTTCCCCAAGCTAATTTTGATTTTAACAGGGATAATTCTTCAAAATGAAGATAATTCTTCGGAGAGGACACGACGAAACAATTTAAGGGAATCAGATCTTTATAACGTTACAATTTTTGAAATTTACCACTTTACAAATTTCTATGATTCTACGAACTTACCAGAGATTAAAATAATTCCTGCGTAAAATTATAGAACTTTGAAGGAACTCGAGTTTTTTTCCATTTTAAAAAGAGAAGGTAACTAAAAATTATGAGCTGTTTCCTTTTCTCCGAAGAAAACACAATTTTCTTGTCAGCTACCTCGATAAAACGAAACATCAATCAATTTCACAGCGATGATGCGTCGTTGATCCTTATTCAATCACGTATATCCCTTTTCTAACGTTTATCCTCGCTATTTATCCTACTATCTGTCTAATAAACGTTCACAGATTCCAATTTTCTTCACGATAAAGACACGATCGATAAATTTGCGATTCAACTTACGACGATATACCCGAGCTGAAAGTGATTTTTATTGGCACTTAAGCAACCTTTCAATTTTATATCCTCTGAAATATTTGCGAGTAAGAAGTTACTCGAAATTATCGTTTTTTAAAAGTACCTTTCCCGAATGAAAAGTCTAGATAAACGTTTAATTGCATATACAGAGGCTATTCGTTACACCAATTTCAATCTCTATTGTAGACAGTTTCTAGAAAGGGGAACATTCTCGATAATTTTCTAATATCGTTTCCTATCTGCACAAGTTATATCAATACGATAAATTCAACGATATGTGATTCGTGTTTCTCGTTGATTCGTGACGTTCTCTGTGACGTTATCCGATCTAAGAATATGTCAAATTAAAATCGATTAATCGTGTACACAACGTTACGGTGTAGTAATCTTTAAAGAACGTAACGATTCTCATCAAATCTTCGAACGAATCAATGAGAAGATGGAGCAAGGTTAACAGGAAATTTCGAGGAAGAAGACAGAAATCGTTCGGTGAACTTCGCTTGCACAGAAATCGAAGAAGGTTCGATGGGCTCGATGGTCTTCGCTCTCGTTCCTACCTCTTATTCAAGAAGTTTTAAATCCTATGGATTCGCTGGGAAAGACGATGGAAAATTAAAGGAAATAATTTACTTATATCGTTAGTCGACTGATTCTCTGTTACAGATTATTTTCGAAATAATATCCGAGTCTTCGTGGTAAAAATGATGTTTGGTGGGAGCAGGTGATAAGGGTAAAAATTAAGGTTTCTCAAATACCTGTCAGGTATCTCAAGTAACAAATAGGGATCAATCTTAAAATACGAAGAACTTCTTTCGCGAATAAAACTGAAAATGGGGTTTTGGAGCGTGTTCTTCCTAGAAGATCTGCATTTGTCTTGGTTTAATCCACCACTAATTAATGATCTTCTCATTCGTGTCTCCTTTTTCAAACGGTTGTTACGCGACATAATTCTGGCAATTGTGCCAATTATCACAGGGTTAAACGGACAAACAAGTGTGTTGAAAACGAGGGGAACACCGGTGACAATTATCGCCGACAACAGTTTAATCTTTCTTCTCGAAAGGATCGGCTCGTTCCTAATTAATTTAATTAATCACAAGAATTAAGAGATGAATATTAAACAGGCAACATTTTACATCGCGGTTTTCCACTATGCCTAGAAACAGTTTCTGTTATGTGGAATCAAATTGAAGGCGCTATTATTCACAAGAAACACTTTTTCAAAATCAAATATATCATGTTAATTCTAAATTTCTAAAAATTTTCCATCCTGATCTCTGAATTCCAGTTCCCTCAAAATCCGTCCAATCTCGTAATTTCTGTATCTTCACTTTCTATTGTCATCATTCAAATTTTACAATAGTCTTGTACAGTGTTTGATTTAGTTTT